GATTACTATTTAGCCTCATAAGCCACAGCTGGCACTGGCCTAGAACGCGGTCCCTGGTGAAAAGAGCACATTGGCATGCCCAAAGCTTGGAAGGATCCTGGCCCCTTGATAAGATGGCTGAGTCCAAGACTGGAGCAGGGCAGGACAAGATGAGCCTGAGACACTCGCAGGGGCCTAAAAGCAAAGAAGTGCTCCAAGAAGCATAGGGACACGTCAAAAGCCCTAAGAAGTAGTTGGAAGGGGTTCTGGATTTCACTGGGACAAGTAGTGTCAAAACAAATGACGACCATAACGAATGATAAGCTATAATGGGAATCACTGGATTCACATTAATTTAAAGAAGTTAATGGGCAGGGAGAGCCAGCTATTCCATATGATAAAAAGCAAATGTAGAAGGAACAACAAAATGAGAAAATCCTCATCTGGATGAGGCAGCTTTAATCTGTCTCTAGAGCCTCTATGGGAGCAGATCACCTGGCCTTTGTACACAGAGTGGTAGGGCCAGAAGGTGTGAACTGCTGACCTTATTTAGGTTAGCATAGCTGCTACTACACCACCAGGGCGCCTTCTAGAAGTTTTCATTTCATCAATTATTTAAGAAAAGCACAACTTGGTAAACACCATAATAATAACTTGATTTAGTGATTTAGTGACTGTGGAAATTTGTGGGAAATGAACAGGCTATTTTACAGAGCTTAGAGTATCTTCCTCATAAATGCAATCCCAAAGGGACAGCTCTGGAGACACCTGGCCCACAGCACTGTCACAGATGGCCAGTCCAATCACTGGTCATGGTTCCAGTGCCTTCTGATGTGATAAACTGAGAAGAACACAACAGTTCTGGTATCCTTCTGAGGAAATGTGTAACCTCAATCTACTCATGGAGAAAAGGAACAAACACAAAACCAACAATAACAACCTGCTGCCTTCCGGTTGATCCCAACTCCTGGCAACCCCAGGTGTGACAGAGCACTCACTTACATGGAAGCCGGTCTTTTCTTCCATGGTGTCACCAGGTGGATTTGGACTACTAACTTTTAGGTTACTGGTTGTATGTTAAGTATTGGTACCATCCAGGATACTGTATTTGAAAAACAATTTAAAAAGAGCATCGAAAAGACCAGGCTTACTGGTCAGATAGAAATTGGTGGAAGCCCCAAGACTGACCCTTAGACACCCTTCAAGCAGGGAACTGCATTCACCCATGTGATTCCAGGCAAACAGACAGGCCTAGCCTGTGAACAATGACACCAGGGAGGTCTGTATCCTCACAACAATCAAGCGTACAGAATAAAAGGGTACCATTTGCCCAGGGAGAAAGCTCAGAAGGCAGGCAGGGATAAGAAAGAAGGATGAATGGAGAGGAAGTGTAAGTGGTGGAGATTTCAACCAAATGTCATAAAACAAAATGTTGAATGGAAAGCTAATTTGCGTTGTAAACTCAAATCAGAAGAATAACAAACCCCCAACAGGCTATAAAAGAACTGGGGGGGGGGACGGACCATTCCAAAGGTACAGTGGTTAAAGTGCTTGGGTGCTAACTCACCCTTCCATGGGAGAAAGATGTTACAGCAGGCTTCCATAAGACTGTGGCCTTAGTAACCCTGTAAGGCTGCACTACTGGGTCGCTAGGATTTAGCGACCTGGACGGTGTTCAAAAACCGACAATTGCATGGAGTACTGGTGTAGCGCTGGGGGTTAATGCACCGGACTGCAAAGCCGTTTGAACTGCAAGGTTAGTGGTTCAAGCTCACCAGCTGCTCCTTGGAAACCCTACACAGGGTCGGTATGGGTCGGGATCAACTCGACAGCACTTCATAACACCAACAACACTCTGGACTGTGTTCAAAAACCGACAACTGCATGAATACAAAGAAAGCATGAGGAACTGCTAAACGGGTTTAAAGCAATGAAAGACAGCTGGGACAAGTGACTGCACCGAAGTCCTGGCTGACTTTTTCTTCTGGCTATAAAGAAAACGAACACAACAACTAAATCTCGATAGCCTACAATTATTGTTAAGTGCCATCGAGTCGGTTCTGACTCATAGGACCCTGTACCGTACAAGGTTTCTGAGGAGCGACTGGTAAGCTTGAACCGCCAACCTTGCAGTCCAGAGCATTATCTTGCAGCGCCACATCAGACCTAAGATTAGACAATAGGATTGTATCATTTATTAATTTCTTGATTGTGGGAACGATGGTTATGTAATATCTTCCACTTTGGGAAATACTGTAGCGCAGCGAGGCACGCACCTGCAACTTATACACCCACCCAAGAGAAGGCAGGGGTGAGGGGTGGGAGTCCTGTTGCAGCACTGCAGGATAATTCATTGGAGCACAAGGTCAGTTTGAACTGCAGGGTCGGCAGTTGAAACTCACCAGCCGCTCTTTAGGAAACTTAGAAGGGTTGCTATGAACCAGCACTTAACAACAACAGAGAGGGGGAGGGGAGACAAAGAAAACCTGGGTTAAGATCTATGTGAATTCTTTGCATTTTTCTTACAAATTTCCTCTAGTCTAAAACTATATCAAAACGCAAAAACCTGGGTAGTCAGGTCATAGCTTAAAACACAAAAATCTTAAGTGATATAAATATTCTCAAACACCGTAAGATATTCTATTAATTTAGACTTTCTGATAATGCTAACACAGAAGAACTTTACTTTGCTAGTAACTGGGAGAACAGGTTCTGTTAAAGCAAATTATTGATGTAAAACTATGCAGAAGCCATTTGTTTTAAAAAACACATTAAAAGAAAGTTTTATTATTAAAATACTAATAAGATCGAATCTAATGATGAAGCACTTGAAAAACCACTCAGTAAGATTATAGACTGGCTCCATTAAGTATTAACTCCAGGACATAACTAATTATGCTCAGCAAAGAACCTCAGACAAATGATTTTTTTACTGCACGATCCATAAGAGCAAAACTAACCTCTGGTGATCTGTACTGGGGGCGTGAAGGACGCATAAATGGTATTTTGAAAGCTAATACCATGTGGGTAAGACAAATTTCAAAGGAATTAAAAATCCACAATGTCAAACTAGGACCACAAATATTTAATATAGTATCTACATATATATTTTAAAATTAAAGCAAAGGCAGGCGTCTTGAAACACAACATAAAGCCATACAGCATAGACTGACAACTTCATCTAGATGAAAAATTAAACCTGAATGTCCAATATACCACAAACAAGTCAAGTCAAATGCTAGACTGGGCAAAAAACAGTGTCAACCTTTTGTGGAGAGAGCACCCTGAAACACAGTGTGACAGAAAGTCCAGCAGAAAACTGGGCACAGGGCATGAGAAGACCCTTCAGAAAATATAATTGGCGAATCATAAAAAGCTAGCTAATCTGTGAGGAAATGTCAATAAAACCTTTACTTCTGGAGAAATGCAGGTTACCCCAGGCAACGTTTAGAAAGAGAAGTAATATCGAGTGGTGAGTATCAACAAACAGGCCCCCTTTACCACTGTCGGTAGGAGGTAACCAAGTGTATTCAGCAGCAGTAACAGTCTGTTGGAGCACACATGTTAAACTACAATGTATCAACCTATGACTCTAGAATTCTAGCAATTTATTGAAAAAAACATTCCTACAACTATAGAGACATTTCACTCCACAGCTGGAAATGTGGAGTGAAAACTGGAAACTACCTCAGTAGTCTAGGAATCAGGAGGTCAATGAGCTAAGTTAGGGCACATACACCTGGAGAATTGCTATAAAGCTGTCAACGTGCCATCTGCAGCACCCTAGAGAGCAGACGTGGCCTGCTGAGTGGAAAAGAAAGCTATACAACATTCTGTAGTTGTTGTTACACAGTGATCACAACTGTCCAGTGTAGGGCTAATATGTTTTGGGGCTTGAGCAATTACTAAGACTTTAAATCACAAGCAAACGTTCCGGACTATCCAAAGGAACCGTTTGAGCTGGTTCTTTCTTAACCCAGTAGTTTGATGCACCTAACGACTCGACGGCACTTAACAACAACAACAACAACAAGTAGAGGTAAACAGTAAAATATACCCCAGGGGAAGAAGGGAAAACAAGGACGATACGACGACCCCTGCCTTCCACAGTCAGACTACGGACTACGTCAAGGCAGCATGACCTACGCGTGAAATCCAGGGATCAGGGGTTGCTAGGCCCTGGGAATGTTGGGGATCTAAGGAGATTCAAACGATTACCGGGGGCTCAGTTGTTGTCTAGTAAACTGGGGCCTTGGATAAACACAGATGGGGACTAGTAGTGACCAGTACACGTAAGTGAAGGAGCAGAGGGCCTAAAGAACAGGTCTCGTTTGGGGCCTGACTTGAGTGTATTAGAGGGAGGTGATGGGAAAGGAAGCAGGAAAGAGGTGGACAGGGAGGGTCATTAATATAATGTGGCACGTGCTTTTCTTCTGTAGGCAGTTTTTGAAACTAACTGTAAAGTGACATTTCTGTTTGACGAGGTGGTATTTAAAAGGAAATGCGCCCTGGTGGCACTGTGGGGGTAAGCCTTGGCCTCAAGGTTGGCAGTTCAAACCCACCAGCTACACTTTGGGAGAAAGATGAGGTTGTCTGCTTCTAAAATTTAGTCCAGAAACCCTGTGGAACACCGCGCCTTTGTCCTATAGAGTTTCTATGAGGCAAAAGAAGCAACTTGAGAGCAGTGCTGTGAGTTGTGAGGATTGAAAAAGGAAGTTAGTTTCTGCAAAAGCCACAACATTTGGAAACTCATTCCTAAATGCTCTGTATTTAAAGAATTTTAAGAAGCTGGGCAAGTAAGGGCAGTGGGCAAAGCTACAGAGAAAAATGAGAGCCTGAATCTCCCATACGTGGTTGCTGGGTACCATGGTAACAACATGCAGGGGTGGGATTTCAAACCAACATGCAAAGCCTAGTTCTGGGGACAGCTCAAGTGTGCAAGCAAAAGAAGAGAATTAACAAAGACAAGTAGGTTTCAAGGAAGTTTGTAACATCAAGAATGCTTATAAAACCTCTGATACCTTTGCTGGACCTCTTTGCAGTTTTCTTGTTTCCTTCAGAGGTAATTTCAATTTCATCAGGATTACCCCCTTCGTCTTCAATTGCCTATAGGGAAAGTGAAAACGTCAGTTGATCAAAAGAAGCCAGGGGCTTAAAAACCAGCTGAGCTGGAAATGCTCCCCCAGGCACCACACATTCACCCCATCATCTCTTTTTCTAAACTGGAGCAAAGTCTATGGAGTCAGACTATGTCAGGAGCTGTGTCGTATGAGTTGTTTACTTAATTGCGTGAAGTTTGCCTTTTCTCTGCCAAGATGGAGCTAATGATAGTATTTATCGTGGAAGGCTGCTACAGGGACACTATAATCCCTGTAAAACAAGCGTGCAACAGGAATTTGGCTCTTCTGAAAATGTCATTACCACCATAGTCTGGTCTGGTCCATCCTATTCTTGGACCCAAGAGAACAACATCAAATCAAAGGGAAAGGCACACAGCGTGCTGGTTTCCTGTGAACGTTGTTTAGCCTCCATGGCCCCCTGGAATATCTATTGTGTGTTAGGTATTATACCCAACTTGGCAAGTTTCAGGCTGTATCCAATCACAATTGGCTCCAAGGATCCTACTCTTACTCGCTAGGTGATCTTGCTCACCTTACACAAATTGGAAGGTCTCTTAGTAAGCCTGCCTTCCACACCAACAGCTCTAGACCTTCTCAGTACCTGACACCAGGTAGGCACTTGGAAAAACTGTGAGTAACACGCCATTATCCCTTTCTGTCTTCATAATCCTGTCCTGTGCATATCTTAAAACTCACTTCAAATCCATTTGTATTTGTCGTTAAGTGCTGTTAAATCAGTTCCAATTCACAGCAACACTGTTTAAGGTTTCCAAGAAGCTGCGGGTGGGTTTAAATTGCCTTTGTATAGTACCCTAAGCCCCAAATTCACTACCATGAAGTTGATTCCAACTCATGGTGACTTTACAAGGCAACACCCAACTGCTCTCTAGGGGTTCCCAGACGCAACTCTCTGGAAGCAAACTGCTAACTGTTTGGGTAGCAGACCAATGCTTAACCATCAGCACTACCAGGGCTTTGGTTTACTTATGTTGTTAAGTGCCGTCAAATTGGTTCCGACCCAGTGACCCTGTATAGGTTTCCCAAGGAGCGGCTGGTAGGTTTGAACCACCTTCAAACTGACCTGTGGTCCAGCGTATTATCCTGTGGCACCAAAAGTTTCAAATGAGTCCTGGTGGTGCCGTGACTTAGGCATTTGGCTGTTAACCACAAGGTTAGAGGTTCAAACCTACCAGTCACTCCTTAGGAGAAAGATGTGGGCCTCTGTTTCCATATAGATTGACAGCCTTGGAAACCCTATGAGGCAGTTCTACTCAGTCCTATAGGGTTGATAGGAGTTGTAATAGACTCAAGGGCAGGGAGTTTTTGGGGTCAAAACCGTCAAAGATGATCAGGGAGCCAGAGGCTCTACAGCTAATCTGCCACTGTGTACAGAGAAACCCTCTCCTCTCAGAGGAGCCCCAAGGAGGAATTGCAGTTCTGCCCGGGATCAAACAAATGAGAAAGCCCAGAACCCCCTCTTCCCCAGGAAAGCCTGAGAGATCTGTCAACAGCAGCCAGAGCAGGGAAGAACAGCCCCATCCTGTCCCTCAGTGTGTCTCCCCTGGGTGCAATGTTTACAGGGTCATCCCTTGGGAGACAGTGTGCCGAGTCATCCCTACCGCTGCCATTGTTAATTACCGTCAGGTAGATTTCTACTAGTGGACACCAAAATAAAAGGAGAGTACTCATCAAGACCCTAACAGGATTGAGTAGAAGTCACATGGATATTATTAAGTGCCATGGATTGGTTATAATCCAACTCAGTGACCCTGTATAGCAGGAATGGGGACCATCCTGCAGGCAGGCCATGTTGTTAAGTGCTTCTGAGTAGATTCCAACTCATAGCAACCCTGTATAGGGTTTCTAAGGAACTGCTGGTGGGTTGAACTGCCAACCTTGTGGTTCACAGTGTAGTGCTGACCCTACAGCTCCACACCAGGGTCCAGCCATCACATTGTTGTTCAGTACCCTGTTGTTAGTGACCCTGCTCAGGGTTTCCAAGGCTGTAAATCTTTACTGGAGCAGAATGCCTATCTTTCTCCTGTGGAAAGGCTGGTAGTTTCAAACTAAATTTGTAACCACTATGCTAACGGAGTTCCTAGCCATCACATTTGTTGCTGTTGTTAAGTACCGTGGAGTCAGTTCGAATTCATAGTGACCCTGCACAGGATTTACAGCCATCACATTAGGGGTGAGTTCATTAAACGTCTGACCAAATATAGCAGGATAATTTTTAAGTAGATAATTGTATGGTCTGTGAATGATTTACATAAATTTTAGCAGAAACAAAGCTCCCCACGTTGCCGTATAGGGTTTTCAATGAGCAGCTAGTGGGTTTGAACCAGCAACCTGTGGTTAAGCAGTCCAGTGCTTATCCTACCACATCAGGATGAACAAGCCTTGGCAAATTAGGTCAGAGAACTCTCTGTCCTGTATAAAGTGAAGTGGCATTTACAATAAAGGACACAGGCTTATGTTTGAAAGACCCACTTCTGCTGAGCTTCAGCCTCCTCCTCAGGAAAACAGGGTACAATCCCGCCTTCCTCGTAATAGCAAGCGTTAGGAAACCCAAAGGAGGAATGAGTCACCAGCCCCGTGGTCTGCAGGCTGAGAGCTCACCCAGGACAGGTCCGAAGACCTGGGGAGGCAAAGAAGGAAGTCAAAACCAAGGAGGAAACTTCAAGCCGAGTTGTTGACCCCAGGTGACTGAGCAGAACTGCTGGTGCAGGGAGGGGGGAATTCTTGGCTGTAACCGTCACCAAAGTAGATGGCCAGGCCTTTCTCATCTCATACCCCTGCTGTTGATAAGTGCATTGAGCCGGTTCCGACCCATAGCGACCCTGTAGAGGGGTTCCAAGGAGCGACTGGGGAGCTTGAATCACTAACCTGGTAGGTCAAACCGACTTTGCAGCCTAGCGCCTTAACCCACAGCGCCACACCAGGACTCTGAGTGGGTTCAGATCTGCAACCTTTTAGTTACCAGCCAAGGGCTCCGATCGCTCCAACAACTCGGCTAGACACCCCCTCCGTTACCGGGGCCTTTCATGCCCTTCCCGCGAGGTAGAGGGCCGAGGCCGCATTTGGCAGGAAGGAAGCAAAATGGAGGCCAGAGCGAACGTGGATGGGTCGACAGGCGCCGGGCTCAGGCTCTCACTTGAACCCCAGCCCCCCGCCCCCGCCCCTCGGCACACAAGGTCACGTGTCGCCCACGCACAAGCTCGGCCAAAGTCCGCGTCTCCCCGGCCCGCCGAGGCTCTCCTCCTCCGCCCGGAGCCTCCCTAGACCTCACGCCTAAGAACCACCGAGCCCTGGCAGCACCCCAGTTCAGCGCCATCGCTGATAACGGAAAAGGCGGCCGTTAGAGTTCACCCCGAGGTTTCACTCTGCAGGAAAGAAGAAAGGCCTGGCGCTCGGCTCTTTGCCCGGCAATTCGAGTCGGCCACACACGGGGGCGCTACGAGTCGCAATCGACTCGACGGCGCGCAGCAACTCTAGAAACCGCGCTGCTTCCCTTTCCCCCCAACTGGTGGGATCCACGCTTACATCCCCTCCCTTTTCTTTGTTGATTTTGTGGCTGACCCCCACCCACCCCGCCGCCTCCAAACGCGCCCGGCTTCTCCGCCCGAACGATCACGGCGCATCCCTCCTCCCCTCCCCCCACCCTCCCGGTGTCAGACGGCCCGGGTTCAAATCCCGACGCCACCCCTGCCCGGCCGTGTGACCTTGGCCGAGTCTCATCACGAGGTGAGGGCTGCAGACGCCCTCGTCCGGTTCTGGGGGCGGGAAGAGAGGGAAACAATGAGGGGGAAGGCCTCGGCGCAGTGGCCGCTGCAGCACGCAGGGCCTCGGGCCGTTGTCACTCGTCGCCACCAAACGCCGACGGAGGCCTTTTTTCCCGTGCCCGTCGCGTGGTTCTTTTTCCCTCCTCCCTCCTTTTCACTCCCGTTCCAAATCGGCGCTGGGATTTGAACCCGGGCCCGAGTGGCCTCAGAATTCGCACTCCGGGTCTCTTAAGTTCCGCCGGGTTAGGCCCTGCAGGCCGCAAATGGGGTCGGGGGCGGATCCCAGGGCGAGGAGACCCCCATCGCGGTCCCAGGGACCCCCAACCCTCCTCTGGCCCGCCCCCTGTTCTACCTTTTTCAGGCGATCCATGAGAACGCTCTTGTTGCCGCTGGAATCCAAATTCCGTTTCTTCAGCTCCGCCCGCAGGTCGATCACCCGCAGATCGCTAAGGCGCCGCGTCCCGGTCTCCGACGAGGCGGAGCTCAGAGCTGCTGCGCCCACCGCACCTGAATCGCCTAGGCCTGACAGAGTCTCCGCCATTCCAGGGACCCTGGCTCCGCCGCCCACTTCACACAGAACCGGGCCGGTGGTGTCTCGGCTCCTAGCACAAAATGGCGCCGCCTGAGAGGGAACCGCTCCAGCCGCCCCGGCGCGCCTCGTTTATGCGCAGACGCACCCGGCGCGGGGCCCACTCTTTAGGTCTTATACGCACATGCGCAGTGAGCGCCTTGGGGGGTTGTGCGCAGGCGCGTTACGCCCCGACAGCCTCCCGCCGCGAATGACCGGGAGACATGCGTGTTGCAGTTACGGCGCTTGCGCGTTGTGGCGGGGAGCGTGCGGTTGGTGGACACGCGAGCGCGCCGGCGGCTAAGAACGTTGATTGGGACTGCGCGCATGCGCGACTGGATATCTGGGCGGGAGGAAACGAGTGCGTTTTCCTCTTAGGCGGCGCCATTTTGTGCTCAGAGCCGCTACAGCCGCCGGCGGTGTGAGAAGTAGGTGGCGGAGACAGGAGGCGCGGGATGGCGGAAACTGTGACGGAGTCGGGAGACCCGGGCTCTGGCACGGCTGCTGTCGTTTCGGACGACTCGGAGACCGGGACGCGTCGACTCAGCGACCTGCGGGTGATCGACCTGCGGGCGGAGTTGAAGAAGCGGAACCTGGACACGGCCGGCAACAAGAGCGTCTTGATGGAGCGGCTCAAGAAGGTGAAGCGGCTCGGGACCCCGGGGGGCGCACGGGGCCGGGGCACTAGGCCGCGCAGGCGTGTCAGCGCGGAGCCCCCGGCTAGCCTCCTTCATGGTACCCCTGGCCCGAGCCACCCGGGGCCCGGGGGTCCGGCAGTGTGACCTTGGCCCGTCACCAGCCCGCCCTGTGCCCCTCTCCCTCCCCTACTTCCAGCCACTTGCTTCAAGTTCCCAACAAACTGGACCCGTTAGGCCTCAGGGTGGCCTTTGGCCTCTCGGGACTGGGGATTGAGTCTCCACGCAGTGACCTTGGACAAGTGTGTTTGTCGTGTCCTCCCCGCGCCTCAGTTTCCCTTCCTGGAGCGTGGTGTCAGAACTGCGATTGACAGGAAATGGGGCCCGTGCGCGGGTCTGCCCCAGGGCCTTTGCACTTGCTGGGCCCTCAACCTGGACAGCGTTCCCCTAGATCCCTTGGCGGGTGGCAGAGTTTCACGACTGTGACTTGTCACCCCCCTGACTTGCTGCTCCGTCCCCCTGCCCCCAGGCAGTAAGGCCGACCTGGGAGCATGGTGATGGATGGTCTGTCGCCCCCCACTTGCGCAAGATCCTGGAGCCTCGGGACCTTCTCAGGTGCCCATGGAGTGTCCAACCCTCTGCCAAGCACCCCGGGGTCCTGAGATAGTTGTTGCATGAAAGCAACTGACCACCTGCCCTGACACTGTCCTCCTTCTTCCCTGGAAGTCAGAGCTGGCCTGTGGACAGACACCACCTAGCCCTTCACCCCCGGCTCAGCTTCGCTGTTACTATTTGATCTGGCAGCAACTTGAAGCTAGCAGGTTGGACACTGCCCATTTTGGACCTGGTCGATGACCTGGATGCTGGGGGCTGCTGCTCCCACAGCCCTGCAACATGCCTCCCCTTCAGCCTTGTTTTGGGCATTGGGCCCAGAGAGAGAATCCTAGTTATGCTGGGGCCGCCCTGGGTCGGCAGTCCTGATAGCATAACCAGAGTTGGCGTTTGGCGAAGAAGGAACTGCCTTTGTTCCTTGGGAGCTTGTTACTTGGAAAGACGAGTGTGTGCTGTGTGCCCAGGGTGCCTGATAACATGGTGAATCTCGTCTCTTCCTAACAGGCGGTTAAGGAAGAAGGGCATGATCCCGATGAACTTGATATCGAGTTAGAATCCACCAGCAAGAAGACAGCAAAGAAGGGTGTGAAAGGTATCTGCTTGTACTTAACGCTTGTTTGAAGCTGGAGTGTTTCGAGAACTTACTGTTGGGTGCTGGGGAGTTTGTTTCCACGAGCAACCCCATGTGACTGAGTAGAACTACCCTCTAGCGTTCTCTAGGGCAAAGGAGTCTCATGGACAATGGTTCAGTCTTCGATTGCTAACCTGAAGGTTGGTAGATGAAACCTCCAGTGGCTTGGTGGCAGAAAAGACTTGGTGACCTGTCCCCACAGAGATTACAGTCTTGGAAATCCAATAGGGTATTTCTATTCTGTCCCATAGGATTCCTGAGTCGGAATCTACTCAAGGGCACCTAGTCTTCTCTCATGGAACCATTGAGTGGCTTCATACTGCCAAACTTGGAGTTGGTAGTTGAGCACTTAAAGTAGCATTACTAGTGCTCTGTTTTGAGACCTTGGAGGACTGGCTAATGGCGCTCTTCTGTCCCCTCTGCCTGAAGAAGGACCCCTTGGGCCTTCAGTGGCTCTTCACCGAATGAGTAGCTGTGTCGAGGGTACTAGAGGGCCACAGAGAAGTGTAGGTGCCACTTAATTGCTCTTTGCATTAAAAGCCAGAGGAAGGCACAGAGCTGTCCCAACTGCTCTGACCAACCAGATGTCTTTGCTAAATGGTTCAAAATACAGGTCTTAAACTGAGGAAAAGATGCTCTGGTAGTGTAGTGGTTACCAGTCGGGCTGCTAATTTCAAGATCAACAGTTGAAAACTTCCAGCGGTTCCATGGGAGAAAGATGAGGCTTTCTGCTACTGTAAAGATTACAGCCTCAGAATTGCTATACAGGATTACTGTGAGTCAGGACTGACTCCATGGCACACCACCACCACCACCAAACCAAGGAAACTTGACAGCGATCCTAGACTGAATGCTGTTAGGTGTTGGTGGGTCGGTTTTGGCTCTGACACCAGGTGACAGTAGAACTACCCAGAGAGTTGCCAATGCTGTAGTCTTTTGGGCAGCAGATCTCCGGGTCTTGTTCCCACAGAGCCCCTGGGTGGATGCCAACAAATAATCTTTTGGTGAGCACCAAGGAAGCCCTTCACCACTGAGCCACCAGGGCTCCTCGCAGACCTAATAGGACCCAGCTTGGCTAGGTCAGAAATGGGCTTTTTGGTATTTGCACCAAGTCAGTCTGAGGGGACTTCAAAAACTTAGTGAGAAAATGGGATGTTTCCACAAAAGTTTGGAAGCCTCTTGGTATTTTACTTAGTTTTTTTTTTTTGTTTTAACCATAGGAAGTATATGTTTATATATGTATGTGTGTGTGTGTGTGTGTGTATGTATATATATACACATATATATAGCATCTGTCAACCTTTTTAACATGTACAGTTTAGTGAACTGTGTATGCTACTATTGGTTTTTTCATTTGACAAGATGCACATGCAATAAAATAAAGGTGTGGTGACATTAGTGGGTTTTAGTTATACTCACAAGGATGTACCATTATCATCCCTATCCAATTTCAGAATGTTTTCATCAGCCCAAAAGAAGCCCCATACAAATTAAGCAGTTCCGCCTGTGCCCCTTCACCTCTCCTAGCTCTGTTGTTAAATACCATGGAGTGAGTTAGCACTCCGAGGTCCTATATAGGGTTTCCTAGGAGTGGCTGGTGGGTCTGAACCACTGATCCTGCTGTCAGCAGTCCAGTGTTTATCCTGCGGGGTCACACTAGGAATCCCATTAGCCCTAGGAAACTGCTAATCTATTTTCTGCCTGGATTTGCTTCTTCTGGACATTTCCTATAAATGGAATCATATGACATGACTTTTTGTGTCCGGCTTTGACTCAGCAAAATGTTATAAGGTTTGTCTATGTTGTAGCATGTATCAGTACTACATTTCTTTAATTGATAACCAATGTATTGGGGGGAGCATTTAATCTACAAATGTGATGATTTTGACTAGTTGGCTCGCACGTTTTCAGTGGTAAATGTAGAACTCACAGGATAGGCTTAGTCTTTTGAAAGGTGCCCCACAGGGAAATTCCCACAGCACTACACGGTCCCATTCATCTGAACAAATATGAAAGACATCTAGTTAGGGCGTAGAAACAAGTGAATTGTGTATCACTGGCAACAAATCCAGCTTATTTTAGCAACTTTAACTAGAAGAACTTTTTCATAAAGCATCAGATGGTTTTAAAACTTGAGCCTTTGTTTCACTAGGTTACATACATTTGGGGGGGGGGTTAGTTTAATTTTAAAGCATTGCTGAATTTATACCACTCATGTAAGTATTTGTTTTTCACTTACAGGCTTTGACTCTCTAAAATGGGTATGAAATGTGAGAGATTGGTCTATAGTAGGAATCTTGCAAACACCTCTCGTGGTTTGATGCTGAATTAGCTATGAACTGACAGTCTGATTTTTTAAATAGTAAAAATTACTTTAAAAGTACAAGTTATTTGTCGATTTTAATTAGCTGCTCATTTAAAAGCTAAAGGTCAAGACTGAATTCATTAAACTATTCTTGGGGCCCTAACAGTATCTTTTATTTTTTCGCATGAACTGTCAAAAGTTTTGGACTAAAACTTAGGCTCAGTGAAAACCATTTGGAGCTAATCCCCCCACCTCAGAAAAAGCTTTATACGAGTTACTTAGGTTGATAAAAAGAGAATGTAGCCTCAGCCACCGGGGATTAGAAAAGCTGGTCCTGTCCCTTTATTACAGATTCGTAATAAGCACTGAACTTATTACTTAAGGTTACATGTTCAAACCCACTAGCTGCTCCTCAGGAACCCTATACAGGGTTGCTATGAGTTGGAACTGACTCTACAGCTAAGTCCTGGTGTGGTGCTGTAGGATAATGCACTGGACTGCAAGTTCAGCAGTTCCAACCCACTATTCGCTCCTTAGAAACCCTATACAGGGTCGCTATGAGTTGGAACCAACTCGATGGCACTTAAGTCTGGGGCAGTGGTGGTGCAGGGGTAGTAATCTTGCTGTGCAGGAGCCCCAGTACCCGTCATTGGGGCCCAACAGGTTTCAGTAAAGCTACTGGACTAAAATGGAGTAGGAAGCAAGACGTGGCCATCGAGTTCCGAAAACCAGCAGTGAAAACCCTAGGGATTAAAAGGAGGAATGGAAACGAATCAGGGATGGCCTGGGATAAGTGGCTGCTAGATTGCAGAGATTGTATTCAGTGAGATGAAACAAAGTGTGATTTGTTGAATGTGAAACTAGTGATCTGCTCTGTATACCTTCACTTAATACACAATAAAAAATTAAAAAGAAAAAAACCCTGTGGATCACCACAGCCCAGTTTGTAGCCAGTCCTGGAGAGGGGTCAGCACTGGACTGGGCAGCAGCCATTCCACTGCATGGGATTGCCGTGAGTTGGGTCACTCGATGGCAGCTGACCACCATCACTAAGAAGACCCCTGAGAGGGGGTCCACAGGGCAGAGTCCCTAGAGGTCTACATTTTCCATGTTGGCTGGCGACGTTTCTTAGGAAATGTATAAAAGTGTTGATGAGGTGGTACTGGTGTGGCGCTGTGGATGAATGCGTCAGACTGCAAAGTCAGTTTTAATTTCAAGGTCAGTGGTTCAAGCTTACCAGCTGCTCCTCGGAAACCCTATACAGGGTTACTTTGGGTTGGAACCGATACTGCAGCACTTAACAACAACCACCACTTAGTTTTTTAGATGCTGCCATCGAGTTGGGCTGATTCTAGGGATTCTTGTCCCCACCTTCTTTCACAAAGTTAGAGTTGCTCAGTTTTCCTAAGGGAGAACTTCCTCATGACACGTCCAAACAGGTATTCGCTCGCCTGGCCCTTATAACTCATCTCATGGGCAAAGTGGTTGTAAACTTGCAGGTGTGTTGGGAAAGGTTGTGTTTTTAATCAAGGTTGGTCTTTGGGGTGGAAAATGGCCTTTTTCTGAATTCTGACGTAGCACGTCTTAACAAGAGCCTGTCTGCACTGCGAGTTTTGTCCCTGCTCTGCCTGGGAAGCTATTTCGTCTGCTGATCTTCGTTCTACATCCTGTGTGGGCTCTTGTCGACTGCTATTCAGAGGCCTAGAAATTGGGGGCAATTACCAGGTATTTTTAGAATATTTCCAGAAGATCTGCGGTTAGATTTAACGAGACGGTGGTACAGCTGAATTTTGAAGAGTCCTGGCTTTGGAGCCCAGCAGTTTCTCAGTGGCGGGTGCAACTCGAAAGCCTGTTGGCATTTCTGGAAGTATTAAATAACTGAAAACAGAGATCTCTGTAATCAGATGGAATTGACTCAAAGCTACAACTCCTGGCAGCCCAGGTGTCTCAGAGGAAGACTTTGCCTAACATTTGCAATGGGCGAGTTTTTGGGTGCAGCTCGCCTGGCCTTTTCTTCTGATACGCTTCTGGGTGGACTTGATGGCCATTCTTCCACTACAATGCCATATGCTAACCATTTGTACCACACACTACCTGACATGTAATAAAGCTAAGTTTCTGAAGTAATAATGGTGAGCAAGCTATGTAAAATATGTTGTTGTTGTTGTTGTTTTTGTTGTTAAGTGCTGTTGAGTTGATTTCGACCCATAGTGACCCTGTATAGGGTTTCCAAAGAGTAGCTGGTGAGCTTGAACCACCAACTGTGCAGTTCAAATGACTTTGCAGTCTGACGCATTAGCCCACAGCGCCAACACCAGGACTGCATTTATGATGTTTGTTATGTGCCGTGGAGTCGGTTCCGACTCATAGCGACCTTGTACAGGGTTTCCAAGGCTGTCAGAAAGCCTCATCTTTCTCCTGTGGAACAGCTAGTAGTTTCGAACTGCTGTCCCTGAGGTTCGCAGCCCGATTCATAACCACTACGCTACCAGAGATATAGAGGCTACCTTTTAGATTGTTACATTACATTTTTTTATCTTTACAAAATTTGTAATATTTCTTATTGGGAAATGCAAACATCTATACAGGTAAAAATAAAGTTTGGTAGGGATGTATCCTTTGCATTATAAGATGTGGAGCAGTGTCCTAGCCCTCCACCCACTTTAGGTACTGTCGTCCCTAACTGATGACAAACACTGCTCATCCTGTGCCATTCCTGTGACTGGTGTGCATCAGGTCAGTGTGACTCGTAGGGTTTTCATTGGCTGATTTTCAGTCTTCATTTCTTTGACTGTCAGGCAGGACAAAAATCCCATGTCCCAGTCGGCTTGCTGAGAACACTAAGACACATGGTAGAAGAATGGACACTTCTCTCAGTATTGTATGTTTTCACCAAAATTGAAGTGTACATCATGCTGCAAAAACGAATTAGGAGACAAGACATTGAGTTTAATCTAATTGAACAATTATTCTGCAATTAGGGCAGAAGATGGAAGATGAAGGCATGGAAGATAATGGGCTGGAGGAAGATTCCAGAGAGGAACAGGTAGGTGGTGTCAGCCCTGGAGTTGGCAGAATAGTTCTAGCAGACATGGTCACCTGTGCCTTGTTCCTTTTCACAGGAGGATATGGAAACAAGTTTGGAGAACTTGCAGAATATTGATATGATGGATATTAGTGTGTTAGATGACAGCGAAGTCGATAATGGCAGCGCTCCAGACTTCGGGGAAGATGGCACAGACAGCATCCTCTATTCCCTTTGTGATAGCAAAGAATACGTGGCTGAACAACTGAGGCAGCTTCCAGCTCAGCTCACAGAACATGCTGTAGGTAACTTGGAGACATGGTGAAATTGTGGCACAAGCCCTCAGGCACTCCAGTGAGGCTGTGTGCTCCACAGGAGGACAGAGATGCTGGTCATAACTTTAACAGCATCCAGCTCAATTGCCATAAGTACTTAATTTGGGATCTAAGCCTTGGTGGTAAACTATACCCATTAAAAACTCTGTGTACTGTTCCTTGGAAACCCTTTGCCAGGTCATCGTGAGTTGGAACCGGATTGACAGCATAGTGAAAAAACATAGATCAGGTGTTAGCTATAATACTGGAGAAAGTTCTAAGCTTATGTAAACGTTATGTAAATGGGTGACATAGGTGATAACTAAATAGCATTTCCTTCGGCTAATTAAGATAAATGATACATAGCAAAACATCCAGTAACTCACCAATTTCTCCGTGTACAATTGAAGGACGTTGATTACTTTGAGTTGTACAGCCATTCTCACTGTTTCTCTTGAGTTTCTTCCTGTCCCATTAGCAAACTCACTCCCCGCTTAGCTTCGACTTGAACCTTTCAAGTTGCTGTTGTCACTTTGATTCCAGAGAGGAAATTCTCTAAAAAGCACAGCACTCAAGGCTGACATTCTTTACCAGTTACACTAAACTGTTCTTTGGTTTAAAGATGACGTTAGGGTTGGTTTTCATTTAAGGTTTAGAGAATAGTTTGGGGCTCAGTAAGCAGCCATGACACCAGAAATTGTGGATTCCATGAGAATTTGAGATTCTTTTCTGTGTTTTTCCTCTTTTGCAGGATTCTCTTTATAGAATCTTTGATCAGAGTGAGTGTTTACTAATGGTAGTTAGGCATCAGCCAGTTCTTCTGGTCTCAGTACAGAGGAGGTAGCTGTTGATTGAGGCCTCACATTCCATTCCCTCCTATTCCTGGCTCTCCTACCTGTCTTTCCTTTCATAAAGGTTGCTTTAAACATACATACAGATAATATACAAGAAAACCAAGAAGATTTATTACCTCACCATTCAGGTAATAGTGTTAGTTTCTGTGCTCACGGTCATTATTGAATAAATGTCCGGTGGTGGTGCAGTGGTGAAGCACTCAGCTGCTAAGGTTGTCGGTTGAACTAATCTGACTTGACCTGGTGATCTTAACTCTTGGTTGACTCAGTAGCACCTAACAGCTTTGAGTTTGGGCAAGAGTGGCCTTGAGGCACTGAACCTTGCATGTAAAGGTCACAAGTTACGTCATGAACTGCAGACCTTGCCACACGACATTGAGGGGAACACTGAGCAGCTGATTTGCATTCTTCCAATGTAGACTTGTGTATGAGAGTTAGCTGCTTCCTCTTGGTTAATAGAAACCTCCAAGTTACAGGTTCAAGCCTGTTGGGTGCCATCCCGTGTGACAGTAAACCTGACCCATAGGGTTTCCAGACTGAAACCATTATGAGAGCAGATCACATCTTTCTCCTAGTCAGTCACTGGGTGGGTTTGAACCTCCATATTTTTGGCAAGCAGCCAACGCTCTTAGCCGTTACGCCACTAGGGCTTCTTGGTTCAAACCTAGGAAAGGAAATTATTGTTATGTGCCGCCCAGTTGGTTCTGACCCATCGCAACCCTGTGTAGGTGAGCTTGAACAGTTGACCTTATAGTTCAAACAGCTTCGCAGTCCAGCGCATTAACCCACAGCGCCTCCCCAGCACTCCAGAAAAGGGAATAAGAGCGAGCAAAATACCCGGATGGAGTCCTGGGGTGGTGGTGTGGGATAACCATCGCAAGGTTGGAGATTCAAGCCCACCAGCCGCTCCTTGGAAGCGCTGTGCTAGGTTGCTTTGAGTCGGAACCGACTTTGTGGCACTTAACAGCAGGAATTATTGTTAAGTGCAGTTCAGTCGGTTCTGACCCATAGCAATCCTGTATAGGGTTTCTGAGGAACACTTGGTGATAGATTAGGGATATTTTTGCATTTCATGTAAAAGGCCTTCAAGGTGATTAAAAGCCTAAAGATTATAGTTGTTAATTATAGGTAAAAAAAATTTTAGTTAAGAATCAATTGTACATAAAGGGGCCTAGAAGGTTAGTGTTGTTTAAAAAGTGTTGCTACCACGTGAAATGGAGCAGTGCCTATTTCCTCTGGAAATTCTCTGATGGGATGGTGTGTGCCAATCACTGGTTTATATAATCTCGACGTAGTGCTGGCCTTTCTATGAGCAAATGTAACAGTGTCTCTGATGCTATGGTCCCCATGCCACGTGCATGTGGGCAGAAAGGGAAGTGATCGGAATAACTAAGGTAGACGATGGCAGGTGCTGTGCAGGAAATAGGATCTGGAGTTCCTGAAGAAGAGTGGGCTGTCAGCCTGGACGTCCCCGGCTGGTCTGCTCTCCACAGAGTTGTCTTCTGTCTCGTTCTGCAGGTGGATGGGGATGGCTTTGGGGACACTTTGGATGCTTCATCACTGGACTTCAAAGTCACTTCGGTGAGTTACCAGCTTCCTGTGTCGTGGAAAACCTTAATGGATGTAAAACAGTGTAATTTAGCATTGATACTGAGTGAGGTAAGGAGTTCTGTTGGCACAATGAGTAAACATTACTGAAAACCTAAACGGTGGTGGTTTGAACCCTTCTAGTGGGCCCACAGGGGAAAAGAGCTGGTGGTCTGCTCCGGTAAACGTTGTAGCCTTAGGAAACCTTATGGGGTAGTTGTGTTCTGTCACGTGGGACCACCATGAGTCAGAATTGATTTGTAGGCACTCAGCAACAACTGAGCCAGGTCGTGCAGACAAAATAGTGAGCACCCCAGAGCACTAGACTCGGCAGTCTAACGGGGGAGGCAGGTTAATTGGAAGCTCACTGGGTGAGGGAGCCACGTGAGAGCCCGGAGGGATTCATTTCTGAGCAATCAAGAGGTAGTGTAGAGAGAAAGGGCAGAATATGGTCCATGGTCCTGAGATAGGAAGGAACATGGCTCACTGAGTCATCTGCATAGTCTGAGGGTGAGAGCAGCTCAAGTTACTGTCTCCTTAAGCCAGAGGGAAACCTAGCAAAATGAACTTATCTCTGGTGAATTATTTTAATCCCATTTTGTAGTTGTTGAGGCATTTATGTATTCTAAGCCTCTAAATTGGTTTGACCATCCTCAGTGAAATGAAACCAGAACAGACTTGAATTTTGTAAAATATGGGATCTGGAACTTGTAAAATGATGGGTCGAAGACCTGGAGTGGGGGCCTCAGATGATTTGGAGTAAGGCTTTGAGGGCCTGATGGCTGACAGGCCTGTGGACAGCAACACTCATTCACAGTGTGCGATTGGACTCCAGTTTTGGGTGCTGTTCTTTCCAACTCTGCTTCATCTGGTCAAAATATTTGGTTGCCATGTAATACATAGATTGCCCTTGTTGGCTAGGAGGGAGATTAAGTTGCTAGCTTCAACTCGTAAGCTGATCCGTTTAGCATTCCAGTTCACCCAAATTTCAAAAGACTATTCTGGTTTCTTGTCTATTTCATGTCTATAATGCAACTGGAAAGAACCAATTCGAAAGCCTGGTTTATTCACTGATGATTGACAGTTGTCATAGCTTAGGAAAGAGGAGTCCTGGTCGCACAGTGTTTAAAATACTCCGTTCTTAACCAAGAGGCCAGAGGTTTGAACCCACTAGCTGCTCTGTGGGAGAAAGGTGTGGCACTCTTAAAGCCTTGGAAACCCTAGGGGATACTTCTACCCTGTCCCATAGGGTCACTGAATCCAAATTCACTTGATGGCAGTTGGCATTAGTTGAGAAATACTTGTACTTGGATTTGAAAGTGCTGTGTGGATTTTTCCTTTTCATTTCTTTTTTGTTTAAACAGGAGATTGAAGAACCCCTATTGGAGCCAGGTACTGATAAAGAGCAACGTGACACTTCTGGTTTGCTGCCTTTCACACTACTGTTTTGTTTTCATCTGTTTCTATTTGAACTTACTTGTGGGCTTATAAGTGGTTTTAATGGTGGACAATCCAGATCATACAAGGATCAGAGATTGGAAACCCATTCGTTATCACCAGATTAATGGAAGTGATGTTCTGGTTTCTTGAGGTCAAGTCTATTTGGTGAGATGGCAGTGGTAATTAATTTTCATCTCTTTAACCACATAGAGTGGTCTAAAGTCATCCCCTACCCCTACCTCCCATGATGCTTGCATGTGTCTGTGTGCATGAGACAGATCTTGTGGTATTCTGCTGCAGCCATTTTGAATAATCATGTAGTTAGGGGCAGGCTGAAGCAGCAGTCAGGGCATTTCTTAAACCTGAAAAGTGACTGGATTCCCGAAGACGAAACTGTTTTCCTCAGGAAAATTTCCAACATGTTATTCCCCTTCTGGACTGCATTTCTCTCCCGCCATCGGATGAGTTTCTGGTTTTCCTATTGGACGGTTCTGTTAAAAGAAATTCAAAGCAATTTGGAAATTGAGCTGTTCAGTGAATGGTGATTGCGTTCGGTTGAGCACCTTGGACTTTGGAAAATAAGTCAGAAGACCCAAACTTGAACAATCACATGAAGACAACTGTCATGAAACAGCCCACCCAGTGGTTGTAGGGGTTTAAATCTTTGGTGACCATGTCTCTTCCCTGTAGCATAGAGTCTTCATGCAGTAGTTGGTGGTGTGCAGGTAGTCAAAGCAGGTAACTGTGTACCCCTCGGGTTTTCCAATCTCTGTGTAGCTAGCTGTTCTCTTCATGTTCTTGTGGCAGCCGTGCCCAATCGATCCACACTTGTGCTTGCTTTATTTCCCTGGTCATTAAACCTTGTGCCATTCTATTCCTGTTAAATCCGTAGAAAATGAGAAAATACTCGACATTTTGGGGAAAACTTGTAAATCTGAGCCAGTAAAAGAAGAAGGTTCCGAGGTGGAGCAGCCATTGGCACAAGATACAAGTAGCGTGGGGCCAGACAGCAAGCTTGCGGAAGAGGAGGACCTTTCTGAGCGCGCTCACCCGGAGGAGGAGCAGGAGGAAGGCGGTTTAGATTTGGCCAGCGAGTCAACAGACGCTCAGAGCAAGGCAGACACCCCGTTAGCGGTAGTGAAAAGGGAGCCGGCGGAGCAGACAGGCGATGGCGAGAGTGCGGACTGTGAGCCCGTAGGGCTAGAGAAGCCAGGTGAACAGAGTAGTAAAGCCCCAGAAGACGCGGACGCCTCTAACAAGGAGGTGGCGGCGGAAGCACCCCGCGAAGCCTCAAGCCCTGAACCCAGAGATAGCAAAGAAGACGCGAAGAAGGGTGACTTTGAAGCTTGTAATGAAGTCCCTCCGGCTCCTAAAGAGTCCTCAGCCAGTGAGGGCGCTGATCAGAAAATGAGGTTTGTTTTTTCTCAGTTTTAGACCAGACGCTATCTCCTTTTCATTGGTCACTTAATGACACACATAAGCTGTTTTTCTGCAGTTGGCCAGACAGACTGATGCAGTTGTAGTTTAATTTCTAGAGAATGTTTTATTTCTCTGTGTATTTTTTAGTGGGTGATTTGACCCCTTTCTTTTTCTTCAACCTATTATGGTTGTGTCCTTAAATTGTTAATCATTATCTTCTGCTAAGTCAAACTGACCTTTATGAATCTGACATTGTATTTTTTGGGCGAGTCAGATTGCCTGTGTAAGTTTGCTGAGGTGTCAGAACTGTATTTCAGACTAATTTTCTGGTAGGTATTCAGCTATAGCACACACCATAGTTTTAATTTTGTTCTCTTTCATTCTTTCCTTGTGTGAGTAACACTAACTTTTGTCTCTAGCTCTTTTAAGGAAGAAAAAGATATAAAGCCAATCATTAAAGATGAAAAAGGTATGACTTAACATATATCCCCGGGAACCTGCTCTGGATCCCTGATTTGGGGAGGGAGGTGCCTGCTGATACCCTTGTTTTATATCTCTCAGTTTATTTCTAGTTGTTTTGTTTGGGAGACAAGTGTTTATTTTTGGTACGCTCCTTCATTTATGGGGTCATGAAAATGAGATCATAGGATCGGAATCCCCTTACTCTCAAATGGAACCATGGGTATTAGAAACCGCCATCTTGCTTGATTCTCAATTACCACAGACATTTCAGTGGAACACTGAACTGGCCGTGATGATTCCCTGAGTGAGGGGACTCTGAATCAGTTGCTACCACCCACATGTTTTCCTGTCCCGTCCTCGCTGCTTACAATGGGGCCTGAGGAGCGGAGGCCGAGTGTAGTTTTGACCAAATGGGACTGCTGTCCTCTGCTGAGCGGGGCTCTTCCTCTTCTGTCCTGACAGACAGTGTGACCCCTCTCTCTCTGCCCCAGGTCGTGTCACTAGCAGTTCTGGTCGGAATCTATGGGTCAGTGGACTGTCTTCAACCACGAGAGCAACTGATCTGAAGAACCTTTTCAGCAAGTACGGAAAGGTACGCAGACTTATTTATGCAATTCTGTCTGTCTTCAAACGTGCGGCTCCTGGAGTGGGAGGGCTCCCTCTGAAGACTGCTGAAGCAGACCCTTCCCTCTCCTAGCTTCTGTCTGACAGGTGTGTGGTATGCATTCCGTGACATGTAAGGATAGCACTTCTGTCTCTCCCTTCATTTCTGTCTTCCCATGACTGTCTGCATTCTGTGTCTGTCTATCTGTTCTTATAAAGACGTCAGCCTACTCCATTTTGGCCTCACATTGGATTAACTGATGCCTGATTTCCTTCCCTCCAGATCCTGTTTCCAGATAGGTTAGATTCACAGGTACTGTGGGTTAGGACTTCCTCGGCTAGGCATACCTTCTTTATTACTTTGCCTTGCCAAAAAAAGCAGGTTTCTGTTTGTTTTACAAATTGAAAGTTTGTGGCAATCTTGCGTGAAGTCGTCTTTCTGTGCCATTTCCCACAGCATGTGCTCCCTTGGTGTCGCTGTCACATTTTGGTCATTCTACTGATAACTTCAGATTTTCTCAACAGACTGCAGTCTCTTGGAAACACAGCTGCTTTATTTACTGGGGGATCAAAAACTACCTGCAGCTTGCTTTATTGGATTATTTGCTTTATTTTGGTAGTCTGGAACCGAACTGGAAATAGTTCTTAGCTCTGCCTGTATCATCTCTGAGGTGTATCTGTTTTGGGGTCATTATTCAATTCATTCAACTGCTTTGGACTTAAAAGCTTTTAAGAGGTTATACTCTGAATTGTTAGGCTACAACACAGAATCAGAAATGCTGCAGGGCATAGCTGCAGCGAGCTGCTGGTAAATACCACTCCCCCTCAGCCTCAGCCTGGAGGCACCCCGGTATATAAGCAAGCACTCCGCTTTACTTGTGGGGGCTGGGAAACCCACTGCTCTGCCTTATGCTCTGGCTCTTGGTTCTGCTACTGCTGCTTCTCTGCCCCTCCTCCAGTATCCCACCTTTCTATCCCCAGATCCAGGAGGGTCAGTGTGCAGGGATCTCTGGGACCAATGGACACACTCCACTCCTGGCTCCTTTAATGGGAGTCACATTCCCCCTTCGGCTTCTGAGATGATGGCTCATTTTATTTTCCAACCCTGTACAGTGAACTGAGTGAAGGTGGTCTACAGGGCAGATCATCAGTTTTACATTGCACAGATCATATACTTTGTTTCATTACATGGCTACAATCCCCCCCATGAACAGACAGTTAACGGTACCTACACTTCTGGTATGGTGCTGTAGGATAATGTGCTGGATCACAAGGTTGGTGGTTCAAACCAGTTGCTCCTCAGAAACTGTATACAGGGTTGCTATGGGTAGGAACCAACTCGATCCGCACTTAACAATAACAACACTGTTACTTTCATCTTTCTTCTGCAAACCTCCCTCTTGTACATTGCTTGCCCTGTCACCCTACCCTCTAGTCAATGAATAATTTCCCCTCCTGCCTCCCTTGTAACCATCATAGATGGTTTTATCAAGAAAACCTTTTTTTTTTTTTTTAACTTGACAACATTGGTCTCATACAATATTTGTCCTTTACTTCAGTCTGTTGAGGGTACCAGGTTTCATTATGTGAACTCTTTCTCAGTTCCGTGCCTTTTTTCCTTCAGAAATGCTTTCTTTTTCTGGCTCTGTTGTCTCCAGAGCATTGTGGGGTTGTCATATTTGTAAAAATAAATAGTGCAATTGTTGGACCCGGAGTGGAGAAATCTCTGAGGGACTCCTGCCAGTCAAGGAGTGCACAAGGTGGGTGTGGGAAGGATGTGACAGCAGAGATCTTGGCTCTACATGGTGTTCCTATCGTCCTCAGTGTTAGAGCTATGTTCTGGGTGCTCAGTCTGGAGGTAGTTCATGGAGGCCCTTGATGTAGCTGGTTTCAGTGTCTGTTCAGACCACAGGACAGCTGGGGGCAGAGTGATTTAAATGCTGGTGTGGTGGCTCTGTAGGTCTGGAGCTGAGCCCATTTAAATCCCTGCACCAAAGCAGTGCAGCCGGCCCTCAACTCACACTGGCGTGGCTCCCAACTACATGGTTCTGAACTTCGTAGAACAGGGTCTGCACTGGGAGTAGGTGAGGGTGGGAGCTGGTCACTAGGGATATATCGGGGGAAAGAAGAAATCAGCGTGAATCTGCTCTGCCAAAGCTGCTCACAAGATGGTCAAGTTGCGTCTGACCAGCCTAGCTCTCACAGACTTTGCTCGCGGAGTCGACATGGCTTATTTTAAATCCATGTTACAGTTTAAGTCTTCACAATTACAATGAGCTCTGTTAATATTCACAGCTGAATGATGTCCTATCAGTATCTTCTCCCACCTACTTCTTAGCCAGACCTGTTAGGAAAAGAGTCAGTAGTTTGATGGGAGTTACAAAGAGAAGGCTAGAAAAGAGACACATGAAATAATTCACTACACTGCAGTACTTTCATTTGGTGGGTTTTTTTCTGTTAAAAAGGAGTCTCAAGGAGAGAAAACAGATGGTTTGTCACCTCATTAAAACACCACTTGGAAAATCTATTTGTATAAATATTTATATAAATAGCCTAGATCTAAATGTTCTGGTGTTTCTGACTTTCTTAAAGAGACCATTAGCTTTGGCCTATATACAACTTTATATTAAAGAAGGCATTTAGACTCTTTCCTTTGTAAGCAGATCCATTGGATGAAAGACATTTGAAAAATTAAGGGAATAATTGACTTCCTTATTTTTCAACATTGTAGTTTGATTGATAGAACATGATGTTGTTTTTAGGTGCTGTTGAGTCAGTAGCTACCTTATTATACACAATAGAACGAAACCCTCCCCAGTTGTACACTAACTTCACAATCATTACTGCGCTTAAGCCCATTTCGGCTGCCACTGTGCTAATCCATCTCATTGAGGGCCTTCTCTTTTTTGATTACCCTCCAGTTTACCAAGCATGATGTCCTTCTCCAGGGATAATACAATTCTTAAGAGGAATCTGAAGGACAGTTTTAAATGAATCCATTGTCCTGGACTTGTTAAATACGATTGAATCGATTCCAGCTTGCAGCAATCAGATGTATAATGGAACGGAAAACTGCCCAATCCTGTGCTGTCCGCCACAACTGTTCTGTTTCAACCCATTTCTACAGCCATGTGTCAGTCCATCGTGTTGAGGGCCTTTTTCGCTAACTTTTTACAAAGCATGACGTCTTTCCCCAGTGACTGATCCACCTTGATAATATATACAAGGTGTGAGACAAAATCTCACCATCCTTGTTTCTAAGAAGCATTCTGGTTGAGCTGCTTCCTGTACAGATTAGTTCTTCTGGCAGTCCATGGTGATTCAGGAGTCTTTACCAACAACATGATTCAAACGTATCACTTCACTCTCTTCATTGCTCAGCTATCCCCAAGCATATGAGGCTCAAGCCTTCAGTCCTCAGAGTGACATATTTGCATTTAAGTGACATATTTGTTCTGTAATTAGCTAATAAAACAGTCATGTAAATCTTTTCTCCTGGGTGACTCGGCAGAAGTGGCCCTATAGGAAGTAAGCTGGTCCCGCTGGCTGGGGATGATACAGGGATCCCAGGCTGAGGTGCCAGAGGCATCAGGTGCTGCTGGGTCATACTTTAGGGACTTAGGCAGACAGGACCCAGAAAAAGCACTCATCCTGTTGATTAGTCTTAAGAGTAAAATGTTTTTCAGAAGGGATTTAAAAACTTTTGGCCATGATCTGTTTGTCCGTCTGGTAATTTTGTTGAGTATCTCCTTGTTTCATGCCCTAGTGAAAAAGCTGAAGCAAATATTTCCTTCCCAGCCTCAAAGAGCCTACAGACTGAGAATCAGCCGTCAGCAATAAGTCTGCTTTGTGTAGTAGAACGAGCCTTGGTGACACTGGACTCAGTGTTGGCCTGCTAACCAAAACAGGTGGGAAGTAATGGCCTTGGTGATAGGTAACTGAAAACAGAGGTTACAGCAGGACAGAACAAGGTATGTATCATTGCTGACGTCAGATGGATCTTGGCTGAAGGCAGACACTACCAGAAAGATGTTTACTTGTGTTTCCTATGCAGAGGCATTCATTCAACTGTGTGGATCATAACAACTTTTGGATAACATTGTGAAGGACAGGTGTTCCCGAACACTTGTGCTCATGAGGAACCTATACGTAGACCAAGATGCAATTGTTCAAACAGAACAAGGGCACACTATGGTTTAGTCAGGAAAGGTGTGTGTCAGGGTTGTATCTTTTCATCGTCACACTTAGTCTGTATGCTGTATCTGAGAACCTGGATTCTATGAAGAATAACGTGGCATCAAACATTTGAGGACAACTTACTAACAACCTGTGCTATGCAGATGACACAATCTTACTTGCTGGAAGTGAAGAGCACTTGAAATACTGATGAAGATCAAAGACTACATTTAGAATGTATTGCACCTCAATGTAAAGAAAAGAAAAATCCACACAATAAATGACTTTACGATTAGAGAAAAGATAGAAGTTGTTAATACTTCATTTTTTCAATTCATAATTAACACTTATGGAAGCAATAAAATGACATAAACCTTTAAAGTGTTAAAGAGCAAAGATGTCAGTTTGAAGACTAAGGTGTGCATTACCCAAGTCATATTTTCACTCTTCCTGACCCAAGCCATGGTATATTCCATTGTCTTATAATGATGTGAACGTTGGACAGTGAATTAGGAAGACAATCTAAGAATTGATGCATTTGGGTTATTGTGTTGGAGAAGAACATTGAAAGTACCATCAATTGTCAGAAAACCAAACACATGTGTCCTGGAAGCTGTACAACCAGGTGCTCTTTAGAGACGGGGATGGTGAGACTTGGTTGTTCTTCGTATGTGTTGTCAGGAGGGTTCAGTCCCTGGAGAAGGACGTCATGCTTGGTAAAGTGAAGAGTCAGTGAAAAAGAGGGAGACCCTCCAAGAAGATGGACTCATATAGTGACAGCAACAATGTGCTCAATCATAAATTGTGAGGATCAGGCAGTACCGGGCAGTGTTACATTCTGTTGTGTATGTAGTTTTGCTAGGAGTCAGCCTATTTGATGACACCTAATAACAACAACCCTGGTCGTGCTGTAGTATAAACAGTGGTCTGTTAATCACAAGGTCAGCAGTGCAAACTCACTAGTCACTTCGCAGAAGAAACATGAGGCTTTCTGTTTCCATAAAGATTTATAGCCTCAAACTTGAGTCGGAATCAGCTTGATGGCAGTAGATTCACTCGGTTTACTCAGGTCATAAGGAGTCCTCGTAGTGCTCTGGGTTAGGCCTAGGCTTCCGGGGATGATTCTCTCCAGCTTCGGAAGGTTTTCTCCACCCTGTGCTCTGGGCAATGCTCAACTGCCGGTTGGAGGGAGGCCCTCAGCATGCGGCCATCTTCTCTCTAGTCCTCTCAACTCTGCATTCTAGCTGTTTTGACTGCCTACAGTCTCTGGGCCATCTCCGCCTCAAGGGTGCAGCCCCCTGCCCCCCAGCTCAGAAATTCCAGGCTCTCAGCTCACCTCCTGTTTGCCTTCTCTTGGGTCGCTGTCCTGAGTGGTCTGCTGTTGGTGTCTGGAAATACTAGTCCTGGTTTCTGCATTGCGTCAAGCATGAGGCACAGACTTCATTAGATGAATGCAGCTCCCTCGGTATCAGGTCTCCCACAGGGCACATTGGACGGGCCTGTGTGGATCATGCTGTGTTAAGGAGTGTAGATCCCCTCGGCTACCCATGGACACAGTGGGGTTAGAGGAAATGATGAGAAGGTGGAGAGTTGTTTTGCAGTTTAGTTTGTAAATTGCAGTGATCTTTGTAACAAAACATTTGCTGACTCATACCACAGATGAGTGGGTTTGTAGAAGTTGGTAGAGAGAATCCATTATCTTTCTGTTTCCATTTTCCATGAACTTTCAACCCCCCAGTATAATTTGGTGATGTGGATCACACCTATTAGGAGGTGCAACCAGTTCCCTTCTCCTTTTATAAAAGATTCCTTCACTGTTTACACAAAAAAGCCATCCCAGGATGGGAAGTATTTTTGGTTAATGACGATGTTGTGATCAGTGAAATTAATCAGTGTTCCTCCTCTGAGGGAAGATCTTAAGTGGAAGGCAAGGGTGTTTTCATAGGCTAGGGTTAATTAGAACTGATTGAAGAACTAATTCTGATGAACTAAGGGAAACTTAGTGAGTAGAACTGATTCTCTTTCTCAAGTTGTAACTGTTAATAATGCAAATATGTTGTTTGGTGGTTTGTCCAAGAAAATCAGAAAGCCTTTTTTTATTTGAAGGTTGTCGGGGCCAAAGTGGTCACCAATGCCCGCAGTCCTGGGGCACGGTGCTATGGCTTTGTCACCATGTCGACGTCGGATGAGGCTACCAAGTGCATTAGCCACCTGCACAGGACAGAGCTTCATGGAAGAATGATCTCCGTGGAGAAGGTAAGGTCTCTCGTCCGCTGATACTCAAAGTGTATGGAAACCTGCTGTGTTCCTTATTCTTTTCTTGATGCCTTTTTTTAGGCCAAAAATGAACCTGCTGGAAAAAAGCTGTCTGAGAGAAAGGAGTGTGAAGTGAAGAAGGAAAAACCGTCTAGCGTCGAGAAGCACCATTCTGTGGAAGTCAAAGTTGAAAAGTAAAGTGACTTAGCCAACCTTTCTTGGGAGGCAGGGGAGCTTGGGGAGGTTAAGCAATCTCACTGACTTCAAGTTGAAATCTCAGTTGGATTTTGTCTCTTGTATCACTTTCCATACCTAGCTTTGTAGTTTTGGATATTTGGTGACGTAAAAGAGCCCTGGTGGCACACCAGTTAAGCACTTGGCTGCGAACTGAAAGGTTGGCAGCTTGAAGCCACCAGCCCCTCCTTGGGAGAAAACTGGCTCTGCCTGTTTCCGTAAAGCTGAAAGCCTAGGAAACCCTGTGGACGAGTTCTGCTTTGTTACATGGGGTCACCGTATGTCCAAATCAGCTCAACAGCACCCAACAACCACCCCTGGCTGTTTAAAATAGTCTCAGGTGGTCCTTAGTGTTTTTAATCTTGCTAATTTAACAGTTGTGTAAAAAAGTAAAAAAACACACAAGAGAAGAACATTTTTACTGCATTCTATGATACCCTTTTGGGCTCCACACAGCTTCTCAGACCTTGGAGGCGTTTCCCAATCTGGTTCTTGCTTTTGGCCACAGCAGCTGCAAAGCTATCCTGTTATGCAGGGGAGCACAGCCTGGTCTGGTGGCATGTGTGGTGTCTGACAGGTGTCGCGTGTTATGTGTCCCACAGATTGAAAGTGTCCAAGGTGTTTGGGGGGTTTATTTGCTCCTACACCATGGGGTTGCTTGCCGCAGTCATTTGGATCCACAGATCTAAGGTGTTCCTTTCATCGAAGACATAATTTAGATCTTTGGAAACGGACCTGTCTCTTAAAGCAGCAGGCATTGCGTATTTATACTTTTATCAAAAGTGTAGGCTTGTCTGATTGTGAAGATGGGCTTTGCAGAGCTCTGTTGTCAGCACGCTGTCTGTCCACCTCGAGGTCTGCTCCTGCTGTAAACACTAGCTCCTCTGACGGGGCTGGGCTTTATGCATGACTGTCTAGTTGAGTGGACACGTCTTGTAAGCATCATCGGTACTCACAAGTGGAACTTGATTTTAAAGAAGTAGCTGCCAGTCTTCATCTTGACCAAATTGAAATCCATAGACCCACGAGTAATGGGTGTCTGATTAACCGTTCATGTCTTCAGAGGGAGACCTATAATTTTATTGACAAATTCTTCAAAGAGACGTCCTGTCGGCATTGGAAGCATCTGTATTAGTAGACCAGGGAAGCCAGTGAGATGTCTTGGTGACGTTGACATCTTGAAAGTGCAAGTTATGCACTTATTTTCAGATCACATAGTGAGGCACGTTTGTAGAGGGGAAGGTGGTAATAATGAGCTAACACCAGGTGGTCCATGGTGAACATTTTAGATGCAGCAGTGCACAGCTATAAGAAGAAACCAGTTCAGAGAAGGCAAGGGCCTCAGCCAAGGTCACACAGCCCAGCCAGGAAGTGACAAGGCCAAGATGGATTAAAACCTGGAGTGCTCCCAGAGTTGCTGCTTTAATTTAATGGGGGAGGTATATCCTCACAATGTTTGAAAGCAAACTACCGTCAAGTTGCTTTCTCAGTGGGTGGTTGTGATGCAATGCCATCAGGTCACTGGCAACTGCTCGTAGGGTTTTCCAGACTGACCTTCCCTAAGCAGATCGCCAGCTTGTCTGCTGAGGTTCCTGTGGGTGGCTTTGAACCACCAGCCTTCTGCTTACTACAGTTTGGCTACGTGTACAATTCATTGACTTTAATTACATTTACCCTGTTTTGCAGCCATCACCAGATTTTATTTATTGTTAAAAAAGAGCCCAGTATACTAACAAAACCACTTAACAGTGTCAGTTCTGACGCATCCCGTCATAGGTTACCATGAGCCCTTTTAAATGACTTGAATGTTAATAAAAACAAAACCCCAGATTTTGTGCTGTGGAAGGAGAGCTAAAAGGCCCCTTTAGTCTGGCCAGAGCTCTGCCCAGGCCAGCAAGTGGGGAGAGGAAGCCCAGGAGCCTGGCACACCATTGGCATTTAGTAGGTGTGGGATTTAATTGCCTGAGACAAACTGCATTAGGGAAGATGGGAGACAAGTTTGAATACCTGAGATGATTTATTTCAGCACTTAAAAATGCAGTTGCCTTCCACTGAAATGTTAATAGTAATTTCCTTATTAGCTGGCAAGTAGCATGCTACTTCACCTCCCAAAAGTATGCCAACACTACCAGGTGCGATGTGTTGGTGTTCTGCATCACTCAGTAGGAACTTGAGAGCCTCGGTATTTGGAAAAACTTTTCTCTCTGAAACTCAAAAATAAGATGTAATCCGTACATAATGGGAAAGATTTATAAGCACTTCCTAGTGATCTGAAATGGTCAGTGCGCGTCTCCTCACTGGCTTCTAGTTTCAGTAGGCATGTTTCTAGACTAAGCAGAGACCACGAGGGGAAATTGTAATTGCATCGAAACAGGTGGGTCAACCAGGCCCACATGTGTGAGTGACGCTCAGTGTGAACTGGGTGGTTCCAGAGTTCCAACAATTCATGTTTACCAACGATGTTTCCAAATAGAACCGTCATTAAGAAGGAAGAGAAGGTTGAGAGAAAGGAGGAAAAGAAGCCTGAAGACATTAAGAAGGAAGAAAAAGACCAAGAAGAGATGAAACCAGGAACCCCAAGTCGGTCAAGAGTCACGAAATCAGGTGATTAGAATCTGACCAGTTTCAGCGAGAGCGGCGCAACCAGGACAGGATAGCGAAGGGTCCAGAAGGTTTTTTTTTTTAAGTTGTTTTTTTAAACCTTTTTATTGTGAATCAGCTAAGGTTTATAGGGCACATCAGTTTTGCGTTCAACAATTCCTACATTTTATTATTGTTGTTGATTGCAGTCCCTACAAACAGATCTCTCTCTTGTACATTGCCTTTCCGTGTGTCTGTCCTCTAGTTACTAGCTTATCTTCCCTTCCCCTTCCACTCCTGGTGACCATCAAAGAATGCTTGTTAATGTGAAAATCTTTTCTTGACTTTTTACATCAGTGCCCATATGTCTATCCTAATTTCACTCAGCATAATGCCCTCGAGGTTCCTCCCTCTTAGAAGGTGTGGTCATTGTTGGTCTTTAACATTAGCTAGTACTCCATTGATGTGTATGCATGACCATAGGTAATTCTTCTGTGGATGGACATTCAGATGCTTTTCACCTTTTCTTGCTGTTGACTAGGGTGTGCATTGATCCCTATTAGGCCATGCGTTGTATTTCTCTAGGATGTGTAGTGTACCAAGTAGAGGGATTGCTGGGTCATGCAGTAGTTGTTTACAACCTTTGTAAGGAAGGGCCGTAGTTTTCCCACAGTGGTGGCATCATGTTATAGTCCCACAGCAGTGTAGGGGGGTCCCAGTCTCCACACCTCCCCCAACATTTGTTGCTTTCTGGTTTCTTTTTTTTTTTTTTTTTCAACTTTTCTGGAGTAAGATATCTCATTGTTATTTTGATTGTGGCACTGTAGGAAAGCACTGGGCCGCTAATCAGGAGGTTGGTGATTCAAAACCAACAGCCATTTCTTGTAAAGTCTGTACAGCGTTGCCGTGAGTCGGCCCTGGCTCGATGGCACGTAACAATAATGTTTAATAATTGTAAGCGTGTCTTCGTTTGTTTGTTGGCTGCTTACGTGTCTCCTTTGCTGCTGTCTGTTGATGTCCTCTGCCCATTTGTTAAAATTGGGTTATTTGTCTTGTTGTTGTTGAGATGGTTTTCATGTTTCAGAGATTAGTCCTTTGCCTGGCATGTCAGTTGCCAGAATTTCTCTCTCAATGTGTGGTTTCTGTGCTGCACATAAGTGTCTTAATTTTTAGGAGGTCCCAGTCATCTAGCCTGTGTTCTGTGCATATGTTTTCAGTTATACTTGGTAGTGTGTTTCTGTCATGAATTAAGGTCCCTAAGATTATCCTTAATTTTTCATTGATTATTTTTGTAGTTCTAGGTTTTGCATTTAGGTCTTTGATCCATCTTTAGTTCTTTTGTGTTTTTGTTTTGTTTTGTTTTTATGGTGTGAAATGAGGATCCTGTTCCATTTTTCTTAAAAAGGGATATCCAATTTTTCCAGCGCCTGTTGTCAGAGAGGCTATCTCTGCCTTAGTTAATGATCAGCTGTCCACAAGTGGGTGGATTTCCTTCTGGGTTCTCGATTCCATTTCCTTGATCTGTGTATCTATTTTACTAGCCTCTGGCAGTTTTGACTATCTTGGCTGTGTAGTAGGTTTGAGATGAGGGACTATGAGGCCTCCTACTTTGTTCTTCCTTAGTAATACTTTGGTTATCTAGGGTCTCTTTCCATATCGAGTTGGTGATTATTATCTCCATCTCCTCCACACACGGTGTTGGAAGCTGGATTGGGATTGCATCACGGCTGCAGGTTGCTGTGAATACTACTGGTGTTTTCACAGTGTGAACTCTGCTGTCCATGAGCAAGATGTGCTGGACTTCGGTTTCTGTGTGTCTCTTTAGGGTTGTAAGAGTGTTGGTAGGTTTTTTGTATGTGTCTTTTGTTTCTTTGGGTAGATTGATTCCATGTTTTGCTTGGCTATTGTAAATGGTATTGGTTTCCTGATTCCTTTTCAGGGCTCTCTTAGTGTAAAAGAATTCAACTGATTTTTGTATGTTGATCTTGTACCCTGCCACTTTGCTGAGTCTTTGAATGAGTTCCAGTAAATTCCTGGCTGAGTCTTTGGATCATATCATCTGTAAATAAGAGTTTTACTTCTTTGCCACTTTGGATGCTTTATAGCCCTGGCTAAGAGTTCTAACCCAGTATTGAATAGGAGTGATGATAAAGGGGATCTTTGTCTGGTTCCTGTTCGCAAGGGGTGTGCTTCCAGTTTCTTTCTGTTATGCTAATGTTGGCCATTGGTTTTGTATATTTGCCCTTAATTGTGTTTAGGAATTTTCATTCTATTCCTATTTTGTTGAGTGTTTTTATCTGGAATAGGTGTTGGATTTTGTCATAGTGCCTTTCTGTGTCCGTCAGTATCCTGTGGTTCTTTTCCTTTGTGTTACTTATACGGTGGCTTTATGTTCATTGTTTTTCTAATGTTGAACCATCTCTGCAAACCTGGTATGAATCCCACCTGATTTTGTGTGTGTGTGTGTGTGTGTGTGTTTGTGTATATAGTGCTCGTGAGTTGGTTCCGACTCCTGGCCAGCAACCCTGTATAGTGGCTAGTCGTAATGTGGTCTTGTTTTGATTGGTTGTTGGCTAGGGTTTTGTTGAAAATTTTTATGTGTGTGTTTATAAGGGATATTATATTGGGTTTTAATTTTCTTTTATCAAGTTGTTTTTGCCTGGTTTTAGTATCCTATCTTTTTCTATATTCTGGAATCGTTTGAGTGGAGTTGATGTCAGCTCCTCTCTGAATGTTTGGTAGAATTCACCAGTGAAATTGTTTGGGTCCAGAATTTTTTTGCTGGGAATTTTTAAAGACTTTTGTTCTGGGTCTGTTAAAAGTTTTCTACTTCAGTCTGTGTTCATTAGTAGATAGTGTGCTTCTAGAAATTGATGCGTTTCTTTATAGAGTTTTCAAATTTGTTGGAGTGTTGCTCTTTATAGTATTCTGCTAGTATCCTTTTTATTTCTGTTGATTCTGATGTGAAGTCCCCCATTTCAGTTCTCATTCATGTAACATGAATCATCTTATTTGCCTTTGTAGATTTGTGATTTGTTTTGTTAATCGTTTCAAATAACCAGCTTCTAATCTTACTCTGTTTTGCTGTTCCATTTATTTCTGCTCCATACGATAAGTTATAGGATAAGTTCTGTAGTGCTAACTGCAAGGTCAGCAGTTCAAATCTACCAGCTGTTCCTTGGAAACCCTATCACAGGGTCTCTTGAGTCAGAAGCAACTTAGCGGCTCCTAACAACAACAGTCTTACTCTTCTGGTGACTATTGGTACTATTTTTCTAATTGTTGGAGTTACTGGGTTGAGATGTTGCTTCTGTTTTGATGTGTCTGCTGCTATAAATTGTCCTGTGAGAACTGCTTTTCCTGTTTCCCAAGGGTTTGGATGTGCTGTTTTCATTCTTTTTTGATTCAAAGAATTTTGTTAGTTTGCTTTTTATTTTTTTTCATTACTAGTTTTTAAACAGGATGTTATTCAGTTTCCACGTATTTGATTCATTTTCTTTGATATTCCTGTTGTTGATTTCTAATTTGATGGAGTTGTGATCTGAGAAGATGCTTCATAGTATTCTAGTGCTTTTCAGCTGCACGAGGCTGTCTGTAGTGTGCAGTTTACACGAGGGACCTGTCCTGGTTCCTTGTAACTAAGCTAGTGCAACGCTACAGGTGTGTTGTTACCAGGTTTTCTCTGTGTGAGAAGAACAAACAAGGTGGGCGCGCCTCCAGCCTCTGAGCATCTGTACCCCTTGAGGTGGTTATAATTTGGAACATCCCACTTGGATTGTAGTTTTCTTAAGTTTATGTGCTCAGCACCTTAGAATTAGCATGAGACTCCACAAAATGTTTTGTAGCAAAAAGAAATTAAACCAATCCACCAGAACACACACAAACAACAAACACCAACCATCTGGAGCATTAAAATTTAGTCCATACAGCACATTGCGAGTTAGATCTTAAGTGTTCAGGGTAATTTAGCAGCAATCTCACAAGGAGCAGGTTTTTAAAACACATCTAAGTATTGTCAGTCCCCTAAATAAGGCACTGTAATAAGAGCCTGATTGTCGTGCGGGAGAGTGACAGGCAGTTTGTGAGTCTTGGTGAAGTAGCTGGGGAAAGGAAGCCCCTCTGCCCTCCCGTCCAGCTGGCCAAGTGGCCAGTGCAGCAAACGAGCCCAGACTCCTGTGTGTAGGAGGAACCAAAACACAAACTAGTTATCCGGAAACCACTCAGATTCTGTTGAAGAGCAAACTCTTCTGGGTGGGTTTGTATATGAGGGGCTTCAAAAAAATTTGTGGGAAAACTTCATTGTCTTTTCATGTCCTTTTGAAGGTTGTTTTTTTTGGAAGTACATACGCAGAAGGGTAATTTTCCTCAGGAGTTCCTTTTGCAACCACTTTACCCCTGATGTGTAAAGACCGATCAAGGCACACCAGCTGCTTCACAAAGGCCCAGTGTCACCATATCTCAGGGCTGACTATGGGCCTGTCACAGTCGGTAGTGAGATACCGCGTGGCGGTCCCGAAGGTCACCGTCCATTACCCAACATCTGAGCCCTCAAGTTAGCACACAGTCTAACCCAGGTGCATTGGCTATTGGCATGCTTGATCAGCAGCTGTGTTTTCTTTCTGAAGGAAGCAGAGGAATGGAGCGGACGGTCGTGATGGATAAGTCCAAGGGTGAGCCTGTCATCAGTGTGAAAACCACAAGCAAGTCCAAAGAAAGGGTAAGTATTGCTTGGAGTGTCTTGAGTCCAGCTGGTTTCAGTGTTGGTTTAAGAACTGTTTTGATTTTTCATTGAGAATTTATTTGATCCTTTAAGATGACAAGAGTTCAGAAGTCCTCAGGAGGCACATTCATGGTTAAGGTTATACACATAGACACAAAATGACGTTTCAGCGCTGCTCCCAAACAGTACCTAGTCCTGTTGGTTTTCCTGATCTGGGCTGGCCCTATGCTGATTGTCAGTTTATATCATCTTCTGGAAAGAGAATTGAGTCACCGAATATACATTCCACCTGGGCTGCCGAGCAAGACTCAAGCTTTTCAAGCTTTAGGGCTATTTTACTTGATCATATTCTAGGTCTTCTGTTAAACTAATCAAGAGTACACCTTAGGACTCACTCCAAAGTGCGTGTTTTTCATGTTGTCAGATAAAAGCCACACCAGTTGCCACTGAATCAGCTGTGACTCAGTGCGACCTTACATGTCAGAAACAGAACGGGACTCCCTGGACTTCTCAGTGGAGTTAGATGTCCAAACCTGTCTTCAGTGGCATTTCTGGGTGAATTCAAACCACCATTCTTTTGGTGAGCACACAAAGCTTCCTCTTACCATAGAATGTGCTTCCTCTTCTTGGTTATACACCCAGCTTCTCCAGAAAACTCGCCCAAGGTCTCTCCTCTTGGGTTAACGCCCTTTGATATTGAAAAGCTTGGCTTTTCTCTGATTCCTAAGCCAGACTCAAATGAGGCAGGCTGGACCCGGCCCCCTTGCTTAAGACCAAGGTTCCTGTATAAAGCAGGTGGGACCTAGGGGTTGTCCTGGAACCCACATCAGCACATGGGCATTCTCCTGGTATGCTAGTTGTAACCATTTTTCTGAGTTTAATGAGTGGATGTTGCCCAACAGAGCTCTAAAAGTCAAGATCGCCAGTCGGAGAGCAGAGAGAAGAGGGACATCTTGTCCTTTGATAAAATCAAAGAGCAGCGGGAGCGGGAGCGCCAGAGGCAGCGCGAGCGGGAGATCCGGGAGACCGAGAGGCGCCGGTACGTGGAGGGTCTGCTCTCCTCCTGAGCCGCTCCCCTTCTCCCCACATGTACTCTAGGAGCATCTTTTCAGTGTGCCTGAGGGCGGCCGCCTGGGCTTGTAGGTAGGGATCCTATACTTTGACCTTTAGTCTGAAGGGGGCGGGGCAGGAGACTGATGAGAACCTACTTCTGCCTGCTGCCTGCAGCACCCCCTCACTCTAAGAGGGAGCTTGGACCACATAGAAACTGGTCTGTGTGTGGCTTTGCTGATTGTCCTTCCATAAAGAACCCACACAGACAGGCTCGAAGGACCCCTGCAGTATAGCTTGTTCGATGGGCCAGTCAGAGATAGGGCCCCTTCACTTTGTAAAGGATGGCCTGTGGTCAGTAGTGTCTTAGTACAGCGGCCAGCCCACACAGCCACCCCGGCCAATGGTATGGTGTGCTGGCTGGCATGTGTTGTTTTGTTTTTACCTCATGTTCTGCCGTCTCACACGGGAATTTGTGAGTTCTCCTGTATGTGGCCGTGGTGCTGGGAGACACCCTTGGTATCCAAGACAGTTGTAACCACAAGCTCCCAATCAAGCCTGTGTACTTTTCTAAAGCCATGTGTGCTCAGCCTCTCTGCAGATGGGGCACCTCTTCCTCTCTAGAAGCTAATTGGTCCCCTTCCCAGGGGGGTGACATGACATCTGTTTACAGCACCTGGCATGCCCCTTCTTTCACCCCAGGCTTCTTTTCTGAGGAGAAAACTTGTTATAACAGCCTTCCTTCCCTTCCACAGCATACCACACACACACACTCTCCAGCGACCACTTCTGGAGGGTTTATTCTGAGTGCACAGCAACCTTGAGAGCAGGGCTTGTCAAGCCCCTGCGGATCTGGGCCATGATGTGCTACTTTGTGCCCCTCCCCCCAGTACCTATGAACTGAGTCCTATGAGTCCCCACAAAGTGCGAACTAGTTGATGCACTCAATTGCTAGCAAGAGGGTGGGTAGTTCAAGAGGCCACCCAGAGACACGTCGGAAGAAAACCCTTGAGATTACTTCCGAAGCCCTCTGGAGCACAGTTCTGTTCTGTCACCGAGGCTTCCCGCTGGACCTCCCGGGTCTTGACCAAAGTGGTGGCCCTTCTCCCTCTCCCTCCCTGTCTTTCTCTCAGCATTGTCACCAGGCTTCCCTGCTTGTTTGAAAGTACTGTGGGGGGGGCGGGGTCCTGGCTGCTTAGTATTAGTAGGAAGGCAACCTCCCCAGGAGCTGTGGGCCTGGGGTTCAGCGTGGCCTCTCTGCCCCCAGGGAGCGGGAGCAGCGGGAGCGCGAGCAGCGCCTGGAGGCCTTCCACGAGCGGAAGGAGAAGGCCCGCTTCCAGCGTGAGCGCATGCAACTGGAGTGCCAGTGGCAGCGGCTGGAGCGGGAGCGCTGGGAGCGCGAGCGGCTGGAGAGGGAACGCATACGTGTGGAGCGTGAGCGCAGGAAGGAGCAGGAGCGCATCCACCGCGAACGCGAGCAGTTGCGCTACGAGCAAGAGCAGCTGCGTTATGTGCAGGAGCGGCGCCCTGCCTTCCGGAGGCCCTATGACGTGGACCGGTAAGGAGGCTGGGGGGGCCAGGTGGTTCCTTGAGGTACCCCCGCCGTCTGCGTAGTTCTGTGACCCATTGTGGGATGAGCTTCATGGGCTTGACCGTGATACCTACACAGGTCCTTTGAGCTGGCCTCACCTAGGCTTGTGTCTCCCGGTCCCATCTCGGGGCTTCTGCTGGAGCACAGCTCTCCACAGGGCATGTATATTGGTGAGACCGCCCTGGCGGTCTTTTCAGAGGAAGAGACCCAAGGTAGGCCCCCTCAATAGTTCCCTTTTGTACCTTGGAGCTACTCAGTGGACGACCACCCCATGTGTCTCAGGAAGGAGACACCATCAAACCTGCAAAAGGAGGACACTGGAATGTCTCTCGCTGTCACAAGCGAGAGAAAAGTGATCACCGCACCCCATCAGAGGCGGGAAAAGTGGACCGCCTCATCAAGTTTTGGTCTCACTGGTTTCCTTGTAATTGGCTGCTGTCCTGACCTGGTCTGATCTGCTTAAAAAAAAATAAAACTCAGAGGAAGGTTCTGGTACCCATAGAAGTGGGGGAAGGTAACAATGTGGCAAATCCAGTCCTGCTCCGGAAGAGTCCACCGGTCCATCCTGTTTGTAGTTGAGCTCACGCAGGGCTCTGGTACAATTAGTGCACAGCAGAATCCTCCTGGGACTGTCAGGCATCAGCTCCAGTGTGCCTCGTGCCAGTTTGGGAGTCTTAATTCATCCATTCAAAGTGCTAATGATAGAATGTTTAGAGATTTGCCCTGTAAGACGTGTGAAGTGATACTCAGACCTTCACGCCTCCAACCCTGCTGAAACTATTCTTCCTCATAAATGGAACCTGAATTTTTTTTTTCTCTTTGAATGAAAACCTCTCCAGACGCTCTGACTCCTACTGGCCAGAATCAAAGCGGGCAGTGCTGGAGGACAGGTATCGGTCGGACTTCCCACGCTCGGAACACCGCTTCCATGATTTTGACCACCGTGACCGGGGCCAGTATCATGACCACATGGGCGACAGGTCAGCTGCTGGCTTACAGAGATGGGTCTGGGTTGGTTCTTTGAAACTCCAGCTTACTTAGATCCCCCATCAGGTGGGGCTGCTGGTGGTCCTGGCACTCATGGCCAGTGGTGGTCAGTGCCAGGATACCTGGCTTCTTCAGCAGGAAGCTCCCCAGAGCCATTCTGTGTGAGAGCACCGGGGGCCCCTGTCAGGTTAAGGTACCCAGGAGCATGCATCAGAACAAGACCCAATTGTCGGCTGTCGGCTGCCTCTCCGGTGTCAGGGTGGGTTTGGGGCCAGTGTGGTTTTTCTCTGTCAAAAGTCATAACATCATTCTTGGGCCATACAAAATGATTGATTTTAAAAACTAGCTAACTAGCCTGCTGTTTATTTGGTCAAATGTTTCATTAACTTAACCCCTAATGTGTTCAAGGAGCTCTGGTAGCGTAGTGGTTACGAATTGGGCTGCTAACCTCAGGGTCAGCAGTTTGAAACTACCAGCTGTTCTGCGGAAGAAAGATGAGGCTTTCTGCTCCTGTAAAGATTTACAGCCTCGGAAACCCGTGTGCAGAGTCGGAATCGACTCCACGGTATTTAACAACAAAGATTTACAGCTTTGGAAACCCTGTACGGGGTCACTATGAGTTGGAACCGACTCCACGGCACATAACAACAACAACAATGTGGTGTTTTGGAGTCCTGGTGTGGTGCTGTGGGGTAATGCACTGGGCTGTAGTCGGTTTGAACCACAAGGTCGGCGATTCAGGTTCACCAGCTACTGCTCGGAAACCCTATACAGGGTCACTGTGAGTCAGAACTGACTCAACATCACTAAACCACGACGCCATGTGATGACTCTGGACTGAGAACCACAAGGTTGGTGGATAGGGTCACTGAGTTAGAACCAATTCAGTGGCTTGTAACAACACATGATGGCTGGAACTGCAGTTGCCTTGGCAGGGTCAGACCAAATGATTTCACAGACCGGACTTTCTCCACCCGTTTAATTCTGGTTTTCTAGCAGCGTTTTGAAGCTTCTTCATGTGTACTTTATGGAATATTCATGAGTGATGCAAATGATGCGCACTCGGCTACTGACCTGAAGGTCGGTAGTTCTCGTCCACCCCGAGGTACCTCAGAAGAAAGGCCTGGCGATCTTCTGAAAACCTGTGTGTAGCACTTCTCTGACACACATGGAGGCACCAGGAATTGGAGTGTCCTACTCTTTAATGCAGCGTTAGTAAGAAGGAGGTCCGCCTCCAAGGGTGGGGTTCAGATGAGGCAGGGCCTCACTAGAGGCGCAGTTTGAATGAAGACACTCAACATCCTGGTGTGGGAGTGCGAGGTTAAGGGGTGCTGACATCAGCCCTCTTTTCTCCCAGGTCAGGTGCGCACATGCGTAGCAGGCCCTGGCCAGGTTCGGGATATTGTGAAGGGAGGTGCGTGGCTTCACAAGCTTTACTGCTGTTCCGAGGCTCCGAGATAAGGCCTTATTAGCACAAGCCTGGATAGCGTGCTCTCAGGAAGGTCTCCTTGACGGCAACTGGTTTTCTTAGTTCAGCAATGAGAGCAGCTCATGGAACCGTGTATTCCTAGGGTTGTTTTACAGTCTAGTCTGAGGTGTTTTTATCAGGCTAATTAAATAATTATATGTTGAAGTAGAGTAAGTGTCCTGAATGTGAAGCTCTTGTGTTTGGACATAAAAGTCCCACCGCTTTGTCACTGCTGTTTGAATAAGATGCGTTACTTTTGCAGAAGAGAGAGTTCCAGGTCAGTGATGGGCGATCGAGTTGGACCGGTGAGTAGATGCTGACCGCAAGCCCAGACTTGGGGACGTGCTGTAGGGCAGGCGGGCGGGCCGACTGCTTGGTTCTGACTGTGGTTAAAAGCTAGATAGATGATTATTGTCTGATTTCCAAGTGTCTGTCAAGTAAATGGGGGTCATCTTTGCATCATTATGTGCAGTATGAACTGCAGGGTCTTTTGACTTCTCCCTTGTCAAACGTGCCTTTTAACCTGGGTCCTGTGGCCCTGCTCCAGAATCACCCCCAGCCCTCCACGATACCTTCACAGCCAGTTAGGGAGTAGTTGGGATCATCTTTGTCCAGCCCAGATTTAGGGGTTCCTTCTCTTTAGGGCCCTGAGTTGGGTCATCTGCCAGTGGTCTAGGAGCAGGGTGGGGAGGGCATTGGTTCTGGGGAAAGAGGCATGAGGGTGCTCCCGAGAAAGCCTGGGACGGGCTTCAGAAGAGCTGCTTTTGCAGTTACTCCTTGATTGATTGGTCACACCGTTCTCTCTTACTGTTTGGGTTAGTTGGGGCCCTGAGTCCAGGTCTGGCTAGGGAGGGGGCAGTCTGCTTTTTCCTCTGGGCGTCAGGTTGCCCCTCCCCTGCTCTCTGAACCTCTAGTTTGTCATGGAGACAGGTTGGCGCCAGGGTGGATGACAAGCTTGGGGAGAGGATGGAGTAGTCAAAGCCTTGCCCCCACCCCCACCCCACTGTCCCCTGTGTCTCTAGCACTACTCAGATCGCCACGGCCGGGACTCTCGAGCCAGCTGGGGCGGCTACGGCCCGGGCAAGAGGCTGAGCGAAGGCCGGACACTGCCGTCCACACCCAGGTTTGTGCGGCACCATGGGGGCCTTTCAAGCAGAGGGCAGCCCTCCCCATGGGGCCAGGTCTCATGGAATATAGTCCCTGAGGGGCAGTCCTTTCATTCTGGGTCTCTGGTGAGCTGGTGACGTGTCTTCCCCTGGCCCCTGACACTCACTGGGGTGGAAGGAAGATGACCCCTCCTCTGGGACAGTGGGAGGGGTGTTTTTAGCAGCACTTCCCCTTACCTTGTTCCAGCATGCTGTCCAAGTTGAGGACACTGGGCTAGATCCTTCTAAAGGTTTCCAGGTAGCCTTCATGTAACATGGTGCCATGTGGCCTTCAGCTGCCTGTGTCCCTGGGCTTGTTAGGGACGCCCCGGTGGAACGCACTGGACAGCCTTTGGTCTGACTGTGGGCCTCCCCCCACCCCCAGCAGAAGGTGCCTATTTCCGGTGCTTGCTCATTCAGCTCAGCCCTTGGCTGCTGGGAGCAGGCCCCAGCTCTGCTTGCTACTCCTGTGGTCTTCCACTCCCTGTTCAGTTCCTGTGGCCACTCACCCATCACCCATTCATTACCTTCATTAAATTCTAGGAAGGTTTCCTCACCCCAAATAGAAACCTGTCACGCTCCAGTCTTCCCGCCTGAGAGTGTTGTTCCTGCTGGGGGCTGTTGGGTCCATTCCGACTCCCCCATCCTGTGTAACAGAGTAGCACTGCTCCATGGGGTGTCCTAGGCTGTTCACAGGAGCTACTGGGAGGCTCAAACTGCTAACCTTCCAGGCAGCCACCCAGACCTTACCCACTGCACCACTAGGAATGCCTCCTCCAGCCCTTGTTACTGTTCAGTGCTGTCGAATTGGTTCCGACTCAGAGTGACCCTGTGTAGGGTTTCTGAGGCTGGACATCTGTACAGGAGTAGAAAGCCTCATCTTTCGCCCAAGGAGCAACTGGCGGGCTCGGACCACTAACCTTGTGGTTTGCAGTCCAGTGTTTATCCTCCGGAGCCACCATGCCTAGGCAGCCACTGATGTCTTTCTGACTCAACTTGGCTATTGTGGGCGCTTCACTCAGTGACCACGCAGCGTGTGCCAGGTTCACCTGTAGGACCCGTCTGATGGAGTGCTCCCTTTTCCAGGGGGGTTCAGAAAGTTTGTGGGGAAAGTCGTATCGTGTGTCTAATCCACATCCCCTTGTGTGGAAATGCCGTGTTATTTTAATTCTTAAATCAGTTGTCTTTGCTTTGGGGCTCTTACGGACTCAGGCTTCTTTGAACACACATGTAGATGTGTCTGTGTGGATGTGTGCTCTCCTGTCTCTTGGCTGGACTGGATGATAGCTCCAGGTTTAGCCATCTGAGGACCTGCCAGGCTGCATGTCTGTACCCCCACCCCCTGGCAGTGTATGAGGTTTCCGTTTCTGTGCATTCTTGTCAGTGCTTGGTATGTGTTTGGACTTGAACCCTGCTAGTGGGGACAGGGTGGTATCTCATTGCAGTTCTGATTTGCATTTCCCTTGGAAGATGAGACCTCAGTAAAGTTGACAGCTTAGGAAACCCTGTGGAACAGTTGTGCTCTGTCACATGGAGTCGCTGGGAGTCCCTAGATGGTACAGTGAATATGCTTAGCTGATACAGGAAGGTAGGAGGCATCCTTGAAGAAATGTGTGAATCGCTTCTGACACCTGGGGCCGCCATGAGTGGGTGTGGCTTGCTTGATGTGTCCTATTTCCATGTGATGGTTGGCTGTGTGTTCGTCTTCTCTGGAGAAAGGTCTCTTGAGCCCTCCAATGCAGGTCTCATTGAGCTACTAACCCTTGCTCTATGATGGGGAGGGATTTAGCCTTCTGACCATCCAAGCCGGAGGCCTCTCCGGACAGTCCTATGTCTGGTTTCTCCTGGCCAAAGGGGTGGACGTGACTGGGGAGAGCACAGCCAGAGGCTGGAAGATCATCAGGAGCGCGCCTGGCAGGGTGGTGTGGACACTGACACGGCTGGCCGAGAACATGCACAGTGGCAAGGTACTTGCTGACCCCCTCCGTGGACCGTGCGGACAAACACAGTGCTTTCTGGGGGGCTACTTCAAACAGCCAAGCCTCCTGGTGACTTCAGGGTTCCCTCTTTTTCTTCCAGGTGGTGAGAGAGGCCCGCCCAGCCCTGAGGGACCAGGGCACCTGGCGAGCAGGGGCGGAATGGCGGGGTAAGGAGCGCAGCCCATGGGTGAGCGTGCTCTGCCCTGCGCCCACCCTTTCCCCCTTTGCATGTGTGTTCAACTTGCCGGGTTGAGTGTTTTGAAAACAAACCCAAAGAGGCTCTCTGCAACATAGGCAACTAGCACTCTCCAGCCCCCCGGAACATGATGTGTGATGATGGCACGTCCCACCTGGAGACCGCCCAGCGCGCTCGAGGCCGCCGTGTCAGCGCTGAGCAGTGTGGCTGAGAGACGCAGAGCACTTGACCGGGGGACCGTCTGCCTTTGTTCCTAGGCGAGGCGGCTTGGCACAGGGTGGACATTCCCAGGGCCACGGGGCAACAGCGGGCGGACTGGAAGGTGGAGGACTGGCCGGCCAGGACCGGGGCAGCAGAGCCTCCCACCCCCACCCATACCCCCACTTTACCCACAGCCGCTACTAGGCCCCACCCGCTCCCTCAACTCTCCAGGTAGGCAGCAGCAGTGTTGGATCTGTTAGCCAGGGTCACCTTGAACTTACAGAATCTTCTGTCCCCAGGTTGTGTAGCTCAATACAATGTGAACTCACTTCCTCCTGTTTGTTGTTTTTTTTTGTAATGTGTTCTTGTTCTGCCGTTTTTAAGACCAGGTTTCTGTTAACAAGGCATTCCATTTTCCATTAATAAAAGTTTATGGTTCGCACTTGCTCGTGTGTCTGGTATTGCACTGGTTGGTTCCCCATTCCCATCCCCCAAGTCCTGACATCTAACCTCATTGTCTCATGGAATTCCCAGAGCTGCCCTCTAGAGTGGGTGCCTTTGTCCCCTGCTTATGGATGCTTCCCATACACAGGTAGATGTTATAAATGGAGGCCCCTGCAGGTGCAGAAGAAAGGCCCAACTATCCCTCCTGTGATGGGGGAGGGTTGCTGGCTTGAAGGAAGGTATGAATTGGGCAGGTGAGGGCCCCAGTGTGGTATAGGCCTGGTCTCCTAGAGTTCCCCTCGGCCTGAGTCTGTTTCAGTGAGAATTATCCATGGTGCCACCTCCCAGGAGCCTTCCTGACCTCCCACTGTATCTAGGGCTGTCCCCTGAAGGTCCCCCAGCAGCTGTCAGTCTCCCAGAAAACCCTGTGTTCTCACTGGTAGGGCCAAGCTCCATCAGCTACTACCTCCTGAATCTCCCGGCAGGGGCTTTCAGAGCCACTTTTCAAGGACAGGTAGAGGGGCACCATCCCCTCTCCATGCTGTGTAAGGGGCGTACCTGTACCCCCTGCAAGTCAAGAAACTGGTAATAAAAGCCAGGCTCAGCTCAGTGACAGTGGGTCAACTGTTCAAATCCGGCCGACCTGGCTACCTGGGAGCTCTCCACCTGTGTTACCACTAAGCTCCCCCTAGAGGGCGTTCGGTGGCTCCTGCTACCTCTTCCACGTCTCAACTTGGCCAAGTCCCATGAGGCACCAGGTACCCCTGGGGTGAGAAAAGCTTTCTAATTATCATCTGCTGCCCTCAGCACTGCTGTACAGCAGAACATGACACCAGCCTGCCCTGTGCAGCCCCATCGTGGTGGTCAGACGTCGGGATCCAAGTTTCCATCAGTAGTTGGTCCCTAGGCCTTTCTAGCTTCTCTGGAAACTCCACAGACGCCTGTTCAGCAGCATAGCAATTCCCCAACCTCTGTTAGACAGCAGGTGACTGTACCCAAGGTGCACTTGGTCAGGAATCGAACCCAGGTCTTCCACATGGAGGGCGAAGATGATATGGACACTCCTAGCCCTCCACTCAGAACAAAACCTCTGCTGTTGGTTCCAACTCAGCGATCCGATAAGGGTAGGGTTTCCAGGACTATCAGCCCTTACGGATGGATGGAAGTTGCCGCATCTTTTTGCCATGGAGTGGCTGGTGGGTTCGAAATGCTGACCTTTCAATTGATAGCCATGCGCTTAGCCTTTGCACTGCTGGGGTACCTCCTAGGATTTTAAATGAAGATTAAGTTAGCTATACACTTCAAAAAAAAAGCTTAGAATTAACCTAGCATGCTGTTAAGTGCCGTCAAGTAGGTCCAACCCATAGCGACACTATATAGGGTTTCCGAGGAGTGACTGGTGAGCTTGAACTGCCAACCTTGCAGTTCAAACGGTTTTGCAGTCTAGTGCATTAATCCACAGTGCCACACCAGGACTCCCTAGCATAGTCAGTGCTTCAGGAAAATCAGACATACCGAGGCCTTGTGCTAAAGCTTCATGGTGGGCGCTTATGTGCTGTGGAGTTGGTTCTGACTCATAGCGACCCTGTACAGGGTTTCCAAGGCTGTAAATCTATGGGAGCAGAAAGCTTCATCTTCCGTGGAACAGCTGGGAGTTTTGAACTGCTGATCCTGAGGTTAGCAGCCCGATTCGTAACCACTACGCTTCCGGAGCTTCATAGTGGGTCTATAAGAATTAGGAGAGGAGAAAAAAACAAACAATCTCTAAAGATGCAAAAACAGACAACCGCACCATCAGAATTAATGACTATTAAATGTCTTCACATCCTCAGAAATGTGTCAACTCTGTCAATTGCTAAATTTTGTATTCATAAAGATTTCATTACATTTCAAAACAGCTTCTGGGTTAAATTCTCTCTCTGCAGGAATTCCCCAGCCTGCCCCCGGCGCTTACCAGTCTGATAGTGCAGACATGAGCTTCTTTCTAGTCAAATAATTTCCAAGGCGTGGGCTCTAGAAAAGCTTTTTGAATGGGCAATAAACAACACAGTGACCACACTGTCTAATGCAGATGGGGTAAGGAAGGGGCAGGGGAAGAGAGGACCCCACCCGGGCCACAGGTCCCTGGTGTCTTCACAGGCCTAAGAACCAGACTGCCAGCATGCTGGGTGGGTTCAGATGTCCGCTCCTTCCATCAGCTGTGTGTCTTTTGTTAAGTCTCCTGGGCCAACCATCACCAAATGCCACAAGACAGGGTGTGTTTTGAACAGCAGAAATTGATTTTCTAGCAGTCTGGAGGCTCCATGTCTGGAATCCAGGTGTGGGCCAGTTCAGACTCCTCTGAAGGCTCTCTCTTCGCTTTGGGTGGTTCTGACACTTTTTGGTGTTCTGGTTTTATTTTTGGCTTTCCCTTTGCCTGCATCTACCTTACCAAGATGCCAGTCACTGGTTCTGGTCCAGTATCACTGGGTTGATTTTAACTCATGTCAGCCTCTTCAGTGTCAGAATAGGATAATCATTGCTTCTAAGGGTTTTCCGTGGCTTTTTTCAGAAGCCAATCACAAGGCATTTCTTCTGAGGCTCTGGGTGGGCTCGAAACCCTAATGTGTTGGATAACAGCTAAGCAAGGTCACCATTGTCTCCACCCGGGGACTCCAAAGTTCCATTAGCCATTTTTCAAACATAAGGCCCCAGGTTGGCCTCTTGACTGGCACACACCGTGTGGTGGAGTGCCCAGAGCTACCATAGCATGCTGGTGTCTGGTCCCACCATGATTGTCTCCACCTGCTGCCAATCAGCTTCGTGGGGAAGCTCATAAAAGGGACTAATGCTTCTGGCCACAGCAAACCAAAATGCAGGCATAAGACACACAAGAGTAGATTGCAGAATTGGCCCAGAAAATGCCCTAGCCTTTTTGCTGGGAAAATGGGGCACAGAGCAGCAAGGAGCCCACTTATTCAAGGTCATTGTCATACTTCTCTAGTGCTGTTGTGGCTTTAGCAAACATTTTTCTCCTAGGAGGTTAGAAGTTGGGGTTCAGGCTGCTGGCTCTGGGAAAAAACTCTCTCTCCCTCTCTCTCTCTCTTTCTCTCTCTGTGTCGTCTGTCGGGGGAAGGTTCTTGTCCTTTTCAGCTTCTCTTCCTCAGGTCCTTGGAGATCTGGTGGGATCAATCTGCCCCCTCTGTCCTTCCTCAATTCGGTGCCCAATCTCCTTTCATCATTCAGAAGTGATTGGCTTCAGGTGCACCCTTCTCTGCATACACCCTCATGAACATAACAAAATCCTATTCCCAGATAGGATCACATTCACAGGTATGACCCCATGTGTGTAGAACAATAGTCAGACCCTTGTGACCATGGGTGACCCTGCTGGCGTTCAAAATAATGCTGACAGACAAGAAAAACACACAAGCCACCACAGTGCGACAAACCGGCGGACGAGTGGTAGGGCTTTGAACTGTCAACCTATAGGTTCATAGTGCAGTGCTTAATTGTGTGTGCCTCTCAGGAACTGCCATCCACAGGTACAGCAGTTAGGATTTACTACACATAATTCAGGGGGAAACCCAATTCAATCCCTAATAGCCACTCAGCAAGGCAAGTTGGAAATGCAGACTCCAGAGCCTGGCCTTGAACTTGATTTAACACACTCACCTATTAAGCAAGTACTTTTCCCGGTACTTCCTGTGGGCTGGGGGCCAGCAGGAAGCAAGACAGAGGCAGGGGCTGGGGCGCATACCTGGGCAATGAGGAGGGGGAAAGACAAGGAAGGGCATTTCCAGGAAGAGGAAACTGTGCAGAAGCCCAGAGGAGGAGGCGCTGAGAGTCTGCGAGTGTGAGACAGATTTGGCCAGTTCTCAGCAGCAAACATGAGCCACCTCCCAGACCTGCTGGGTTCAAGGGCGACTCTCATACCTCTCTCCATACCTTTCCTTGCTTGTGTGGTGGTGGTGGTGTTATGTGCCATGGTACAGGGTTTCTGAGGCTGTAAATCTTTACGGGAGCAGAAAGCCTCATCTTTCTCCTGAGGAACAGCTGATAGTTTCGAACTGCTGACCTTGCGGCTCGCAGCCCGATTCGTATAACCACTCTGGTAGCGTAGTGGTTGCTTGTGTGTAGGGGGAGCCAATTCCCCACTGTCCCCATAGCCCCCATGTAGTTTATCCCTTCCACCTTCAGGAAGAAAAGGACCTACGGGTCTTCAGGTACCCCTAGAGAGCAGGAAACATCAAGATATCATTAGGGAAGGGACATGGGGTACAGCCTGTGAGGGGTGCCACAGTGGGACTGGGGGTCACTGTGAAAGAGTTCCCTGATATGAGACATGGGGCCATAGTAGGTGGGGAAAAGAGAAGAGAGACACAGGCTGAGAGAGAGCAAAAGAGACAAGAAAAGCAGAGACTCACAAAGAAGCTTCCAGAGAAACAGCAAAAACGCGACAGAGAGGAAAAAGAAACTATGAGAAACACAGGGAGAGACAGACAACGAAGAGACAGAGACAGACGCGGAGAGAGATCACAGAGAGGAGAGAGACAGAAATAGAGACACACAAAGGGACGCAAATAGAGCTGGGGATGGGGGAGGCAGAGAGCCTGAAGGGACCAGGCACCTGGTCTGGGGCTGGAACGGCCCTACCACCTGTGTCCACCAGGTGGCGCCCGTGAGCCACGTTCTGCTCGTCTGCGGGCTCGGCCCCCTCCTGCGGCCAAGTCGGGTCTCTTGGGTCTGCAGCTCCCCCATTGGCTGGCCACTACCTAAGC